CCCACTTGGGTAACAGACCTCAAGCCAGTCCATCAATTATCATCAACAATGAAAGGGATATTTTGGCCTCCACATCTACTCTTTATTTCCCAACCTTAGCAAGGTATAAAGACTGAAGGACCCCAAAGCTGATGGTTCCCAGTAACTGAGGTTGCCCACACCCCCTTGATTCCTGTCTCACAAGACCACAGGTATCCCAGGGGCACAGTGACATTTGGAAGCCTTGCCTAAGTCATGAAGTTTCTGCTCTGCTCTTCCAATATGTGCTTTCTTGGTACCTGTGCTATATGGTTTCCCAAAGAAAAATAAACCTAAAAATGGATGCAGCCTTTTATGTCTTACAAATCTGCTTGACAGGGCACCTGTGTAGTTCAGTCGGTTAAGCGTCTGCCTTCGGCTCAGGTCACAATCCCAGGGTCTTGGGATCGAGTCCCACATCGGGCTCCTTGCTCAACGAGGAGCCTGCTTCTCCCTCTGCCTGCAGCTTCCCCTGCTTGTGCTCTCTCTCTCTCTCTGACAAATAAATAAATAAAATCTTTATTAAAAAATTTGATTGTTAATCTAAGCAGAATGGGTGGTACAATCAAATCAACTGAAACAATTATAAAATATCATTTCTATTGTTCTGAGGCAGTATAAACACCAATATGTACCAAATATTTCTAATCAGATAAAAATGAAGATAACAACAAACATGAGGGATAACATGCTGAAAAGGGCTTCTACTCCCACCCCCTGCTATGTCCCTACCTGTAACATTTTACATATTTAAAACTACTCAGGGGGCACCTGGGTGGCTCACTTGATTAAGCGTCTGACTCTTGATTTTGGCTCAGGTTATGATCTCAGGGTCAGGGAATCAAGCCCTGCATCAGGCTCTGTGCTCAGCGCAGAGTTGGCTTATCCCTCTCCCCACTCTCCCCTCCTCTCTCAAATAAATAAATAAATAAATAAAATCTTAAAAAAACACTATTCAGAAAATGTCTTCAGTATTTTGCTGACATTTTCTCAAAAAAAATAAAGGAATTGTTTGTTTTTGTCTTTGTTGAATTTTCATTTCTTTGTACTCAAGAAGGGATTTACAGGTTTTTTTAGTAATCTAAAAAAAATTTGTTATAAAGATTAAATTACACCTAACACTTCAGGTTTTCAAGTAAGTGTAACAAACTCCAATAAACCATTCTATGTCAGTAAGGATTCTTCTTCCACAGTTTTTTTTTTTTTAACCATGAAAGCTATATTCTGAATTGGTATTGATTTTGTGGACAACAAAGGATCTCAGGGATGGAAGTTTGTAATGGCTTGAAGTAACAGGCCAGCTACAGAAGAATGCCACAGGAAACTAGTCTAAACCAAAAAAACCTGCATCGTACTAGGTAAAAAGAAAATAATATCCCTTTGTTGAGTCCTTCAACAACAAGAGTAGCCATGTCTACAAACCCCTCTAGGACCCAGTATCTTAATTTGGGACCAACTCAGAGAAACAGTGCCATCTGCTGATTACACATACTATTTGCTACAAGTCATAGAATTTCAATCTTGCCCATATATTACAATCCTAAATTGCCCAGGCAATGTGACGTACCCGGGACTGCACCACTCAGAGAACAACGGCAGGGTTTTTTGACTTGCTCTATTTTCGCACACCCTGTCAAATGGACAAATGGGCTGTTGGGAAGTTGAATTCTGCTGATGCGGAGCTGTTTGCATTTTAATTCATCGGCGGTGATTTGATCCTAATGAGAGTGTGATTAAAATGTATTCATATTGTCATTTAAAGCAAGAACATTTTCACATGAAGATGTGTCAAAGGTGTGCCTGTGTAATTGGAAATGACTTAAATATGTGACTCAAACCATACCCATCACACAGAGAGCTTTTGTCAGCTCATGCAGCAGTTAGAAATCATGGAAGCAAAAAAAAAAAAAAAAAAAAAAAATCACGGAAGCAAAAACAGAAGTCTATTGCTGCCAGAAGGCAAGAAGAACTGCTGGCTCTGCTTTCATCAGGATCCAGCATGGCTCCATGCTCAGTTTAATAAATACCTTGAAACTGAGATCTAAGAGCAAGGAACCTGATCATGGCAGTTAAGGAAGAAAAAGAAGTAAAATATTCATTCATTCTCCTATTTAAAAGTAGCTGTTTTAGGGGCGTCTGGGTGGCTCAGTCTGTTAAGCATCCTGGGATCAAGTCCTGCATCAGGCTCCCTGCTCAGTGGGGAGTCTGCTTCTCCCTCTCCCTCCGCCCCTCCTCCTGCTTGTGTACTCTCTCAAATAAATAAATAAAATCTTAAAAATAATAATAAAAAATAAAAGTAGCTGTTTTGTAAAGAAAAAAAAGTACACAAAATAGTAATTTTATGACAGCTCAGAAAATTAGTAAAGTCAGGGATAAGGGAGGTACGTGTTCCTTTTATAAGTAGCAGGGCTTTAAGTTTATATCACTTTTATTTGCAAATCAATTTGAGTTTGAATATAATATGCAAACTGAAAATACAGGTAGCCCAGAGAGATTATATCTTTGAGTTTTTATCACATAATAAATCACTTCTAAATCCTCCCTAAAAAAAAAAAAAAAAGAGTAGCTGTTTTGTGCCAGAGACCATACAAGGTAATGTGATCCTAGGATGAGTAAAATAAATTCCAAAGAATTCAGCCTAGTGGAAGAAGGAGCCAGGTAAATAGTTACAGACGGTATGTTAAGTGCTCTATCACAGAGCTATGGGCAGGGAACACAGAGAAGGGGAAAAGAAGGAAATTCTTATAAATTAATCATCTGCCACAAAAAAGGTACTTTATATATGCAACCCAGATGTTAACAGGGTGCCCCTTAACATCTAAATTAAGTAAGTTGGAACCCCCCACAAACTCTGGCCCATCAAAGTCCAAAGCCCTCCCCAATTCCCAAGGGCTTACCACCATCTGTGCTTCTCAGGGTCTGGGCTCCCATGTCACACTTGCTGTCTTTGTCCCGCATCACAAGGATTCACTCACAAAACTCTGCCTCCTCCCAACATTTCAGCAAGATTTCATGGTGGGAAAGAGATGAAGGGAGGGCTACTTCCAGCACTCTAGCAAACAACTACACGGAGAACAACTGTTATTCAAACATCCTCCAGTTCTGTCCCTGGGAGCTTCTCTTATCTAACCCAGTCCCAGGCTCCCTCCGTATTCTTATTTTTTTTCTCTTCACCCTTCCTCAGATTGCCTTTAAAATTCCAAATTTTTCTCCCTCATTACACTTTCACAGCAACCAATTCCCAAGGCTCACTCTCCTTTGTAATAAGTTTTAATAAGGTGTCTTTCCAAATAAAGACTAAGGAATTCTGACATAAGCAGTCAAGGTAATATTTCTCTACCTCTCTAACCATACAGTATTTCACTTAGGTCTAAACAACTACTATTGGACATATCATTGAACAGATGAGAAAACTCAGCTCATCTAAGATAATACTAACCCTATCTCATAGCTTGCTAATGCACGCAAAGCTCTTCACATTTAGAACACAGCAATAAGCATGTAATAAATGCTAGCCATCATCATATTTATCCTTACAATATTTAGTTGCTTTATCTCCTTTCTATCTATACTTACCACCTAAGTAATATCATCCAGTCTCATGACTTTATTAAATACCATCTATATACTGACAAAATTCCAAATTTATCATTAGCTTTGACCAATGCTTCTGAACCCAATTCATCTATGAAACTGCTTATTTGGCATCTCCCCTTGCCTACCAAATGTGACATAATCCAAAGTGAACTTCAGATCTTCCCCTACAAATCTCTTTTCTCAATCTTCCCATCTCAATAACTGGCAATACCATTCCTCCTTTGGCTCAGGCCAAAAATCTTGGGAGTCATTCTTGATTTCTTTTTCTTATACCTTGGACTCAATCCATTCAGAAATCTTGTTGGCTCTGCCTTCAAAAATAGCAAGAACCCAACCATTCCTTCACACTTCACTGCTGCCACCAGGTCTAAATCACCATCATCTCTTAACAAGATTATTGCAATAATCTCATAACTCACATCCTTGCTCCCACCCCATGTTCCACCATTTTGTTTCACCGCAGCAATTCAGATCATGTCTTTCGTCAGCTTAAATCCCAGTGGTTTTCCATGTCCCTCAGAGTCAAAGCTAGAGCTCTCAAGGCCATCTTCAGTGGCCTCTAACATCTGAATTGCCCCACCACCATCACCTCTTTGATCTCATTTCTTACTACTCTTCTCCACAACAGCCTCTGGCTGCTTCTCAAACATGTCACAACACTCCTTCATCTATCTCAAGGCCTTTGCACCTGAGGTTCCTTCTGTCTGGAACATTTTTCCAAGAGAATGTCACGGTTCTCAACCCCTCACTTTTTTCAGGTCTCTGCATAAATCGACCCCATATAAATAGCAATCCGCAGACCCACTTTGTTTAATATCTCTCCCTTATCCTACTTATTTTTCTTCACAGCACTTCTCATCATGTGCTGTATTACATGTGTATTGTTCTCTGTGTGCTAGGATGAAAGCACCAGGGCAGAGACTGCCTGTTTCATTCATTCCTGTATGCACAACCCATAGGACAATGCCCTAGATGTGATAGCTACTCAATAAATATTTGTGGAATGACAAATGAATATAATCCATGTAATCAAAATTAAAGAAGGCAAGAGTTTCAATAAGGAAGTGTTCACCAGTATCTAATGTGAAAAAAAGCCAAGATAAAGACTGAAGAGTTCACTGCATTTACCAATTTGGAAGTCACTGGGATAGAGGCCTTGAGTGCTGGGGGAGGGGGGTCAACAGCTTTGGGTCGACAATGACTGAGGAGAAGGAAGGGAAGACATCAAGAAGAGAACTCTCTTCTGGAAATGGACAGTAGTGATGATTGCACAACACTGTGAATGTACAAGTGGTAATTCTTTCCGCCGTGTCTTATTTTTTAAATGTGGCATAAAGCAAAACTTATACTATTTTTTTTAAAGATTTTATTTATTTATTTGACAGAGAGACACAGTGAGAGAGGGAACACAAGCAGGGGGAGTGGGAGAGGGAGAAGCAGGCTTCCCGCTGAACAGAGAGCCCGATGTGGGGCTCGATTCCAGGACCCTGGGACCATGACCTGAGCCGAAGGCAGACGCTTAATGACTGAGCCACCCAGGCGCCCCAACTTACACTATTTTTTAAACTTTCATATTATCAGCTCATCCAATTAAATGATTATTCAGCCCACAAGTATTTACAATTGAATGCCACCAACTATTATTATTAAAATGCTTTTCTTCAGTGATACTCCAGGGATACACTCTTGGGTCAGCTTCCCTGGAAAACACGCAGAAGCACACCTTCTTGCAGGGAATTTGTTGGGAAGTGCTATTTGGAACAACATCTTTGAGAGAGTGAGGGAAGCACGACTGAACGGAGAGAATAGCTGCCCCCCAAATGAAGCTGCAGCAAAGACCTCAGTTGAAGAGCTCTGGAGCTTGGCCTTTCCATCCTGCATCAACAAAGCACTGGATTCAGCTACTCCGGGGAGGGAGCAAACCTTGGGTGAGGCACCTCTTTTCAGCTCAGGGCTATACTTAGGTAGGGATTTGGCTAGGAGTGGTGGCAGATAGCCAGGGAAATGAATAATCTGGAAATCCAGACAGCATGCTCTAGCATCCTCTACGATTTTAGATAAACAATAAAGTTACTAGTCCCTATCATTGTATTTTTTTAAGGATTTCACACCTGAGAATAATATCACAGATACTGAAAGAAGTTTTATATGTAAAGCCTCATAGATGAGGCCTATACCTAGGGCTAAGAAACACCATTTTTGCTTATTATTAGCTGAGTACCTCCTCACTGACAAATTTGGTCCCAGACTGCCTGTTCATCATGAGTCCTAGATGTATAATTGCCCAGGTATGGCACTAGAAATCTGAAGAGCTCAGATTTGTTGATATATAATTGAGTCTTTATTCAAGACCTCAAGATAATATTCAGTCTAAAAGAAATTTTCCCAAATGGAAGCAGAAGCTGATTATAGAAGCCCTAACTGGAGACTGAGTAACTCCTTTCTCTTTGTAGGCTTCAGCTTTCTAAAGCTTACTTTGTACATTAAAACTTTCTTTTTATGTCAGAAATTATTACAGACAACCCTTGACATGATGGTAGCCGAAACTTTCCTTATTCAGAGTGCAAACAATGTCTGGTGGGCATAGATTTATAGACTCCTTGTCAGTCCCCCATGAGTCTGAGGTCCCATATTACAAACTGGTGTTCTGAAGTGCACCATGTCCCATTATCCTTCATCTCCTGTCCCAACCTGCTGATCATTCTCACTCATACTGCCCTGCAGCAACTATTACACTCAGCATCTTCAGCCTCTGCAGTCCTAGTCTCTGATTCCCTTTCTCCCTTGCGCTCTAGTTGAAACTGATCTCACACATCTAGGTCTAATATTCCTACGTAGATTAGATTTCCCAAAGACAGGGACTAGGTATTTTACTTTTTTATATTCCTTATGAAAATTCCTTAATGGGTATTTAATAAGGTGCATTAATTATGGAATACTAATAAATAACTATATGATGACAGAATTACGTCTTTAATGTTTCAACACTGAAGAACACATACAAAAAATTAAACTCAAGTTTTGACTGTATCAAAACTATGATACATTTTGCAACAAAACATAATTTAAATAATTCTATTAATTTTCAAAAATTACATTTAATTACTATGTTAACTTTTTTAAAGGGGGGGCAAGGGAATGTCATGAAGTAATCTTTCCTTATATAGCAGTACTTTGATTGGTTATATTCTGAAAAAAGAATGAGACATTTTCTCTGATTCTTTCAAGAAAAGGATCTGTAAGATTTAAATGATCTCCAGAAAAATGCTTCCATTGCTTCAGCTGTGACATGGAGAGAGGTTTCATAGAGTTAGACTTCTGATGATGTGGACCAAGCTGACAATTTCTAGAGATAGGGAATTTTTCCAGTGAACCACCTGTAATAAGTAAAACAATGAGAAAATCCTTAGGCCAATCAATACCTTACTATAAACAGTACTTTTTTTATTTTATCACATAATGAGTTTATATAATTTATTACATTTTGGTCTCTGACTTCAAGGAACTTGTGGTCTAGTGAGAGATACATTAAACAAATAATCATCCAAACAGATGTATTACAGGTCCACAATCCCTTATCTAAAACCTTTTGGGACGGATATGTTTCCCAATTCAGAATATAATTGGAACAATCTGGGACAGCACTCCATAATCAAACTCATTAATATTCTGCAGCAAGTCATATGAATAGTCATGAAATGGGTTTTTTTAATGAATACTGATAAATTCACATCAATTTAGGTAAGGTTTTTGCCACCAAATAAATCTGTTGCAAATTTATGAGGAAAAAACAACTTTTGGTCTTTCAGTCTTTCTAGATTTCAAAATTGAAGACAAGGGACTATGAGTTGTATTACAAATATTGGTAAGGGCACAGAATTAAGATACAGGGAACTCAGCACATACAACAAGAAAAGCTGACTTGTAGAATGAAGCAGGGGAAATCGGAGGGGTAGACAAACCATGAGAGACGATGGACTCTGAAAAACAAACTGAGGGTTCTAGAGGGGAGGGGGTTGGGAGGATGGGTTAGCCTGGTGGTGGGTATTGAGGAGGGCACATTCTGCATGAAGCACTGGGTGTTATGCACAAACAATGAATCATGGAACACTACATCTAAAACTAATGATGTAATGTATGGGGATTAACATAAGAATAAAAAAATTAAATAAATAAATAAATAGATAGATAGATAAATAAATAAATAAATAAAAAAGAAAAGCTGACTTGTTTTATTAAGATCTGAAGGATGAGAAGGCAAGAACCAGATGGGGAAAGGGGGTAAAGCATTTCAAGAGAAGGACCTACAAAGGCTATGAAAGTGAAGGGACTCTGGTATGGTCAAGGAACTGACAGGAGCCCAATGCAACTAGAGCTTAGAGAGCAAAGATGAAATTCAGTAATGCAGGCTGAAGTGTGCATTCAAAGGCTGGATAATGCAAAACACCGTGAGCAAATCATGAATGGCAGAGGCTAGCAGTTATTCACTAAATCCCTATCTCTTTCCTCCAGGGCACTTAACCACATTTCCCAGTCTCCCTTACAGTTAGATGCAACCACTGAGTCTGGTCTATGGAATGTGGATAGACAAGCTCTGTGTCACTTCTAGGTCTGGCCTAGAAAAATCTCCCACACCACATGGTTTTCTACCTTTTCTCTTCTCTCACCTGCTGGCTGGGAGATGCAGGGATCCCGGCAGGGAACTCTAAGGCCTAAGGGGATGGTAGAACCCAAAGTGGAAGAACTCTGGAAGACCAAATCACCTTAGTGAAGGCTGTGCACTATGTGACTATTATGTGCCCTGCTACATGAGAAGTATACTTCTACTGTGGTAGGCCACTGTGCTTTTTGAGTTTCCTATTACAGCACTTAACCCTACCTTAACTAACCACTTTAAAGATTTTAGTCTCTATACTTAAGAGCAATGGAAGCTCTTCAAAGCGTTTTTTGGAACATTTTACTTATGGGAAATTTCAAATATATAAAAGTTAACAAGATAGAAATGAAGAACCTACAGGTTATTATGTACCCCACCTTCAGGAACTATCAACTAATAGCCAATTTTGTTTTATTTAGACTCTGCTTTCTCTACTTCCATATTATTATGAAATAAATATCCAGTATATATCAACTGTACATATTTCACTTTGCATTTCTAAAAGATAAAGACTTCTTTTTAAATTTTATCACACTTAAAAAAACTGTCTTTCCTTAATATCTAAGTCATGTCAATGTGCAAAATCATTGATCTTAAGAGATGATGACATTAAGAATCTAGAAGACAGTAGGATAATACTTTCAAAGTACTGACAAAACAAAAACAAAATACCCTATTGACTAGAATTGTACACCTAGCAAAGCCAGCATTTGAGAGAGAGAAAAAGCAAATACACTTGGAAAAGTCAAAGATTGAGAGTGAATGACTAGTAGGCCTTTGTTGGAAAAAACAACATGAAGAGACAGAAGTGATCAAAGTATGTCATTAATTACAATAAATGTAAACAGAATAAATGCTCTGGTTAAAACATGAGACTGGAAAAAAGAAAGCCCATCTTTATGCTATTAACAAGAGAAATAACTAAAACATAAGGACACAGACATACTTAAGGCAAAAGAAGGGGAAAAGGTACACCAGACAAATACCATAAAGAAAGCCAGTGTAATATATAAAGTTAAGATAAATGAAAGCAAAAGGTATTAAGGATAAAGAAATCACTACCTATTAATAAAATAAACCATAATAAAAAAATTCACAAAGAAAATACAAAATATACAGAGCAAATATTTATAGATTAACAAGAAATTTTGATAAATCCACTGTCATATTATAAGATTTTAACATATTTCTTTCTGAAATTTTTTTTTTAAGATTTATTTATTTATTTATTTGAGAGAGAGAGAATGAGAGAAAGCAAGCACATGAGAGGGGGGAGGGTCAGAGGGAGAAGCAGACTCCCTGCCAAGCAGGGAGCCCGATGCAGGACTCGATCCAGGGACTCCAGGATCATGACCTGAGCCGAAGGCAGTCGCTTAACCAACTGAGCCACCCAGGCGCCCAACATATTTCTTTCAATAACAGACATATCTAACAATAAATTAGGTTATGAATAGAAAAATGGGCAAATGATATGAACAGATGGTTCATATAAAGGAAGGCTCTTAAATATAGGAAAAAATGCTCAACTTCACTCATAGTAAGAGGAAAGCAAATTAAAACTAGACCAATATATCATTTTTTTTTACTATCAGAGAGAAAAATTCAAACATTTGATAATGTACTCAACTGGCAAAACTGTGGAGAAATAGCCATTTTAGTCTGTCGTCGGTGAGGTATAAAGGGTACAACCCCCATGGAGGGCACTGGGATGAGCACTGGGTGCTGTATGTAAGTCATGAGTCACTAAATTCTACTCCTGAAACCAGTATTACACTATACATTAACTACTAGAATATAAATAAAAATTGATACCAAAAAAAATAATAATAAAATAAAAGGATACAACCCCCAATGGAGGGCACTGGATGAGCACTGGGTGCTGTATGTAAGTCGAGTCACTAAATTCTACTCCTGAAACCAGTATTACACTATACATTAACTACTAGAATATAAATAAAAAATTGATACCAAAAAAAATAATAATAAAATACAATAAAAGGATACAACCCTCAATGGAGGGCATTTGGAGAGTAATGTAGAAGGGTTTTTACCATATACATTTTATGAATAGTTGAACCACGTAAATATATTAGCAATTTATAAGTTAAAATAGTAAATTTTTAAATTTATAAAATAAGAGGGGCGCCTGAGTGGCTCAGTCGTTAAGCATCTGCCTTTGGCTCAGGTCATGATCCCAGGGTCCTGGGATCGAGCCCCGCATTGGACTCCCTGCTCAGCGGGAAGCCCGCTTCTCCCTCTCACACTCCTCCTGCTTGTGTTCCTGCTCTCTCTCTCTTTCTCGCAAATAAATAAATAAAATCTTAAAAAAAAACTTATAAAATAAGAAAAATTGATTTGGTATCAGAAAATTTGACTAATATGGCATAACTCTAAGTAATTGAGAGAATACACATGGTTTTCATGAACAACAGAAACATTTATGGGGTGCCTAGGTGGCTCAGTCAGTTAAACATCTGACTTGATTTCAGCTTAGGTCACGATCTCACAGTCATGAGAAGGCTCCTCACTCAGCATGGAGTCTGCCTGAGAATCTCTCCCTGTCCCCATGCCCTTTCTCGCCCCCACACTTGCGCTCTCTCTCTAAAATAAATAAAATCTTAAAAAAAAAAAAAATTTACAAACTGACCACATACCATGTCTCTATAGTTACCATATTTCTGACTACTCCGAAGTAGCTAGAACACAGTAACAAAAACTAAAATACATTTAAAACATACTTTTAAGTAATGCATGAGTCAAATAAGAAATCATAATGGAAAATACAAAACATTTAGAACTGCATATCAAAGTTATGAGATTCAACTTAGAGGAAAATGTACAGCCTTAAATACCCATTGTAGAAAAGAAGACTGAAAATCATCAAGCTAAGCATTCAAGTTGAAAAATAAGAAAAAGTACATTAGAGTAAATACAAGGAAAAGTGAAAAGAAAATAAGAGCAAAAATTATTAAAATAGAAAAAGCATATGAGAGAGAATCAAATGTTGACTTATACACAATATAAATTCTTCCACATCAGTCTTATCCAGTCTACCTTCTTAAACCTTTTAAGATTTTATTTATTTATCTGAGAGAGACAGAGAGCGCATGAGCGGAGAAGAAGAAGCAGACCCCTTGCTGAGCAGGAAGCCTGACACAGAGCTCGATCCCAGAACCCTGGGATCATGACCTGAGCTGAAGGTAGATGCTTAACCCACTGAGCCACCCAGGCGCCCCCTTCTTAAACCTTTTCAACACAATTTACCAAGTGACTTCCAACTACTGGTCACTACTTGCTCAAATCCTACTCCTGATCCAGTTCCTATCTGAACATTATCAACTCTGGAGGGCTGACGTTCTCAGCCTCACTTGACACTAGGATTTTGTCAAGTACTGAGAAGTTCCATGCTAACTGCCTCGGAAAGGATGACCCCATTATGGACAAGTTCTACACAGAAAAAACACACAGGAGGATTATTCTGTCAAGTGAAATAGAAATAAAGATTAAAAACAATTTTGTAATTCCAAAGTCAATATACCAGGTTTTGAAAGATTTTTTTTTTTTTTTAAGATTTTATTTATTTATTTGACAGAGAGACAACAGCAAGGGAGGTAACACAAGCGGGGGGGGGGGAGAGGGGGGAAGGGGCGGGGAGAAGCAGGCTTCCCACCGAGCAGGAAGCCAGATGTGGGGCTCAATCCCAGGACCCTGGGATCATGACCTGAGCCAAAGGCAGACGCTTAATGACTGAGCCACCCAGACGCCCCCTATTGAAAGATTTTCCTAAACAAGTAAAATTGTTCACAACTAATTCAGAAGAAGCTAAATTGAGAGAACTAATAAGGTTCTACTTAATATTTTCTCAAATACCCATCTGGCAGGTGCCCTATGACCTGAGGAAAAAAAAAACGAACAAATGCAAATGGTAAATTTTTTAGTTACTCTGTATTTAAATGTTTTCAATTGCTAAAGAGAAACAAATTAACTTTACCATCATAACAACTAAAATACAACTAACCTGTACCATCTTTGTCTCTTGTACATTCACAGTCAAGCAGGTCATGAGTAACACAATGTGAACTTTCATGTAACGTGAACAAATTTTTTAGCTCCTCTACTGAAAACTGGATATGTTCAGATGTCTTGGTTAGGTCTACGACTGCCCCAGAAAGATCTTGCTTACTGATCTGTCTTTGATAAATCTTTTCTTCTATTGTACCTAAAGAGAAAACATTGATTCCATTTCCTTCAGATCTTTAAGTCTGTTATTTTTTTAGGGTAAAACATGTTTATTAGCATACTAGTTAACAAAATAACAATATTCCTGATATCAAAGCACAGATTAAACAAAAAAATTTTTTTTGATTATTCAAAGAGACTAAATTTTTTTTCACACTGAAGGGTTATTATTACCTGTGGTTAGGAGCCTGTAAATATGTACAGGATGTTTCTGACCATCTCTCCATACTCTAGACATTGCCTATAGGAAATAAATGAGAATTCAGAGAATACAGTAGGAACCAATAACCCTGCCCACATAAGCAATATGCATTAATGTGCTTAAGATTAGGAATTCTAGATTTTACTTATAGCTTCAGAAAACAAAACCCAGGCATATCCAAGCATTCTCCACCTCATATGTTTTTCCTGGGATAAAGAAAGGGATGGATGAACACTCACTGTCATACGATAAAATAGTTACAGGGGTGTCACACGACAGTGAGAGGATCTATCTGCAGCAAATAGGACAGCAAGTTTGGACAGCAAGAACGCAAAGAAGCAAGTATAGCATGGGCATGGAGGGTTTCTTCCCAGTCCAAGTAGCTAATGACTTAATCCTAAGGAATGCTTAGGATACCTAATCAGTTCAAGCTATAGGTAAATTCCTGTGGTTTCACAATTTAATCAGTGATAGTGTAGAGAGCTGGTGTTCAAACCCCACACATTCTAATGAAAAGTCTTACTTTCATCCAGCTCCTGGGAGATAAACTCTAAGCCCCTGTAATATTCTGCCTGATAACAGCATCTTAGTTTACCTGAGGCCTTGGACCACAGAAGATAGTTTTTGCTAACAATGTGATTGAGGTGGGGGGCTTGGGACAGTTTGACCTGGGGAGGGGTTGGAGACTGAGCAACTTAGGTCAGTCACACTGGTACTCTGACCTCCAACAAAATCTCCGGACACCAAGACCTGGGCAAACTTCTCTGGATGGTAATACTTCAACAGGTGTTGTCACTCATCGATGCTGGCAGAATTAAGTATTGTCCATACAACTTCAGTGGATGAGGACAACTGGAAGCTTGTGCCTTGTCTCTCCTGAACTCTCCACGTGCCTTTTACCTTTACTGATTTTAGTCAGTATCCTTTCACTGTAATAAACCATAACTATGAGGATAGCTGTTTTTCTTAGTTCTGTGAGTCTTTCTAGTAATCACTGAACCTGAGGGTTGTCTTCGGGTCCCCCAATACAGACACCAAATGAGAAAATCTGTAGGTAGAAATCTGAAAGTACATGACGACAATGGACTGTATTCTGAAGAAAACTAAAAGCTGTTTCTGAAATATTTTCCTACATCAGCTAACTTAATATCTTTACTATACCCTGCATAAACACTGATAATAGCATCTCCAACACTTTATTGTCTTTTCCTGGTAGTCAGGAGCATCCCAAAGGCCCAACTGTGCAGTAAAGTACACACTAGAGATACACAGGTTTGGGTCTGAATCCTGGCTCTGCCTCTTATAAGCTATGTGGCCCAGAACAAGCTTCCATCTCCTCATCTGTAAAACAGGGCTAATAATATCCACACTTTCAGGACTCTGGTAAAGATTAAATAGATGTAAAGCACTTAGCAGAGTGCCTGAAAGAAAGTAAGGCCTTACCATGCAGCAGTTATTAGACATCACTTCATCCTCATACCCCCAGCAGGTACAGGATCCCCAGTGTGCATTCTGTACTGTTTATTTAATGTATAAATTGTCATACCTGGATATCAGTGGCTGGATTCCAATCAATGTCATAGAGAATTAAATGAGATCCTCCAATAAGGTTAAGTCCCACACCACCAGCTTTTGAACTTAACAAAAAAATAAAATCAGAAGAGTATTTACTATTGAAGCAATCAACAATTTGCTGTCTTTGAGAGATTGGTGTTTGTCCATCAAGTCTTGTATAAGTATATCCATGACGCTTGCATACTTCTTGTAGAATATTCAAGGTTTGTGTGTAGTTGGATACCAACACCACCCTGGCAATCAAAAAGAAAGTCTTTACATACAATTTTAAAGCAATATTATATTTTTTTAACTGAAAGAAAACACTACAGTGATACTATCAGTGATGTTTATAGAACATGCAGTGATGACCTTGTACAATTAAAACAAAGGTTCTCCTTCAAATTCAATTTTTAAATCAACATCTAAGAGATTTCCAGCTTTAAGATAGTGGAGTAAGGACCTTTCTCCTTTCTTCACCTCTCTGAAACCACCCTAAAAACAGCAGAATTGAGAAAGAGACATAATTCTGCCTTTGATAAAACAGATAATTATATGTGAAAACAGAGAGTAATGGAATGGTGACCTGCTTAGGGAGTATAGAAAATGTAAAACCCAAGTGCGCAAAGAGGGAGACTCTAATAAAAAAACAAGTACAAGTTTATTCACATCAGAGAATCTTAAGACACATCAGAAGGAAGGAGTTTAGACTGCCCCTATTATAAGAGCACTGATAAACAGAACCCAAACTCTACTCCCATGTAACCAGCTGACTGTTCTTTCTCAACTAGGGTGTTTATAATCTGGAGAAAGTAAACCAGAGAAAACTGAGACCAGGGGACTCTAGAAGGCAAGGATATAGTAACAGATCAAAATGAACATCCACATACTGGATGGTAAGAGCCCAGTTCCCTTTTACTACAAACTCCCAAAACACCCATAGCCTGGCATCCCTCTCACATCCCATCCCCAAAAAGATAGTATTGGAAGATTCATCTCTGGGATGATTTAAATGACCCCAGAGAAAAGGTCCAGCCAGCTCACTGCCTAATTACCCAGTGAGGGCCACCAGTCAACCAGCCCTGCCTTGATACACGGGGTGTTCAATTAATGTTTTACTGCATCACTCTTAAATATGAATGGACACCAAGGATCACCACCTGTTTGAGGTGAGGCTCCAAGATGAAAAATAGAAACCAGAACAAATAAACAGAAAAGAAGAAACCTGTATAAAGCAGAGCAATGGAGGAAAGAGGAAACAACTTTAAGAAAATAATTAATATCCTCAAGTAAGAAATGGGATTCACAAGAAGAGGAGGCAATAAAAAAGAACAATCAAGAATAAGAAAATATCTCAGAAATTATAAATGACAACCAAAATAAAAAAGAAATTTTAAGATTTTATTTATTTATTTGACAGAGAGAGAAACAGCAAGAGAGGAACACAAGCAGGGGAGTGGGGGAGTGAGAAGCAGGCTTTCCACGGAGTAAGGAGCCCGATGCAGGGCTCGATCCCAGGACCCTGGGATCATGACCAAAGCTGAAGGCAGACGCTTAATGACTGAGCCACCCAGGCGCCCCCCCAAAATAAAAATTTAACAAGAAAATTGGAACATAATAATAAGAGAGTATACCTGGAAATAGATGAAAAAAAGAAAAAGTGATGGGGCACATGGGTGGCTCGGTCAGTTACATGTCTGTCTTCGGCTCAGGTCATGATCTCAGGGTCCTGAGACTGAGCCCCCTGCTGGACTCCCTGCTCAGCTTCTCCCTCCCCTTCTGCTTGTGTTCTCCCTCTCTCTCTCAAATAAATAAATAAAATCTTAAAAAAAAAAAAAAAAAGTGATGACCATTAGGAGGGAAAAGATAAAAGAATTAGAGGAGAATCAGTCAACGAGGTTCAATATCGGACAAAAATTCCAAAGAAAACAAAAGAAATTATTTTGAGAGAAAGATAGAATATTTCCCAGACATGAAGTCTTCAGATTGAAAGGACCTACTAAAGTTCCCAGCTCAATAAATGAAAAATGATCCATATTAAGGCACATCCCCCCTCCTGCCTTTAAAAACCTTCTGCTAATTAAGCTCAGCAGAGCTCTCCCCTACTTTCTTTCTAGATGGGATGCTGCCTGATTCATGAATAAAGCCAATTAGATCTTTGAACTTACTTGTTTGAATTTTGTTTTTTAACAGTAGGTTGGCGTGGGTGTGTGGGTGGCTCAGTCAGTTGAGCATCCAACTCCTGATCTTAGTTCAGGTTCTTAATCTCAGGGTCATGAGTTCAAGCCCCACATTGGGCTCCACACTGGGCAAGGAGCCTACTTTAAAAAAATAAATAATAACAGTAGGTTGGCAATTTAGGCTGGGCTCAGCTAGAAGGTTCCTCTGCTAGTTGTGGCTGAGCTGACTCAAGTATCTGCAGTGAGCTGCCTGGTCAACTGGTGAATGGCTGACCTACTCACCAGGCTAGCCAAGGCTTATTCACATGGTGACTGAAAGGTTCCAGGAACCCAAGGGAGGACAAGCCCCAACGTACAAGATCTTTGCAAGTTCCTTTTTGTGCTACATTTGCCAACACTGCATGGTCCAATGCAAGTCATATGGCTGAGCTCAGAGTCACAGTGGGAAATCACTCAAAATTATCTAGCAAAAGAACATGGATACATGGAGGAAAAGAACTTAGACCATTTTTGTAATCTACCACAACTCCTATACTATTATTTCAATCATTTTTCCTTCCCTTTCTTTTCTATTACTGTTACAGAAGGCAGTTGGTTAGGCTTTAACAGGATGCCTGGAGGTCAGCAAAGGGGTGGGGTGGAGGGGTCCATCAAGACCTGTTACCAGGAAAGCCAGTAACCTGGCAGCATTCCACAAACAAAGCCACAAGAAGCCAGATCACTCTAGACAGGCCCAAGACAAAGAAGGTCCGAGACCCTGACCAGGTAAGGGAGAAAAGGTACAAAACCCTATTCCCAAAGAAATCCCCTCTCCAAATGATAAATGTTCCACGTCTCAGATAACAATTGTCAATAAAAGGTAGAAATCCAAACTTCTCCCTTGAGCTCGCCCACTTTCACATCTCCAGAGTGGACTCTCACTTTAAAAAACTCTTCACTTGCACCATTCAACCACTGTGTCTAGTCTGTCCTTGAATTCTTTTCTTGTGACAAGACAGAGAGCCTCCAGTCCCAGGGTGGGCAAGATGGAGGCCTCAGGGCCTGGAGGTCTCCCCAGTTCACCTGGCAACAACAGGGATAAATAACACTATCTAAACATAGTTTTTCTGATACATCTTCACTAGGAATCTCAGACAATCCTCTTTTAGAGGTCTAGAGCACCCCACACCCCACAGAAGTACATACCACTTTGAAACAAGACTATTATTTTTATGTTCATTAGACTGTCCCCTAAAGCAACTGAAATCTGTAGTCAAGGCGGTCAGGTAGAGTGCAAGGTGCACCCAGCACGAGTCTCCATCCAAGTGATGCATGGGGGCTGGAATGCAGCATAAACTCTGGCTCGCCAAGCCATGAAGCCTAGTGCATGAATGCAACAACCAGAAGGGAAAATAAACGGTTTTAAATTTTGAAGTTTCCTTTTTAAAAATTCCATAAAAGGGTAACCTGGTAGACAAGTCAAGAGTTCTCAGATATGCCTCCACCTAGTTCTAATACATCTTAACCTGCACAAAAACACTGTATGTGCTAGAAAAGTTCTTCCTGAAGACTTAACTGTCTGGTAAAGTTAATGGTAACACAGCAATTACAGTAAAAGCTTAATACTATCCCTGAAACCAAACACTGTCACTTTTAGCTACATATCTTTAAAGGCTTAGAATGCTTGTGCATAGGCAACCCAGCCCTGGAAAGCCTGGCCTCTACACCCAATTGGCCATATGAAAAAAGGGCCACAACTCAACACCTAAAAAGCAGTCCAATTAGAAAATGGCAAAGGACTTGAATAAACATTTCTCCAGTGAAAATATACAAATGGCCAGCAAGTAGATGAAAAGATGCCCAACATCACTCATCAACAGGGAAATGAAAATTCAAACCATAATGAGATGCCATCTCACACCCATTAGGAACATGATAATGTTGGTGAGAATGTGGAGAAATTAGAAACCTTGTGCACCGTTGGTGGGAATGTAAAATGGTGTGGCTGCTATGAAAAGCAGTATGGTAGTTCCTCAAGAAATTTTAAAAAGAATTGCCAGGGGCACCTGGGTGGCTCAGTCGTTAAGCGCCTGCCTTCAGCTCAGGTCACGATCCCAGGGTCCTGGGATCGAGCCCCTCATCGGGCTCCCTGCTCCGCGGGGAAGCCTGCTTCTCCCTCTCCTACTCCCCCTGCTTGTGTTCCCTCTCTCACTATGTCTCTCTCTGTCAAATAAATAAATAAAATCTTTTAAAAAAAATAAAAAGAAAAGAAAAGAAAAGAATTGCCAAATAAGCCAACCATTCCACTTCTGGGTATATATCGAAAAGAACTGAAAGCAGGGTCTTTTTTTTTTTTTAAGTAGGCTCTACACCCAGTATGTAGCCCAGCACAGGGCTCAAACTCATGACCCTGAGATCAAGACCTGAGCTGAGATCAAGAGTCGGATGCTTAACCAACTGAGCCACCCATGAGCCCCTGAAAGCAGGCTCTTGAAGAGATATCTGTACACCCATGTTCATAGCAGCATTATTCACAATAGCCAAAAGGTGGAAGCAACCCAAGTGCCCATCAACAGACGAATGGATAAACAAAATGTGGAAAAGATACACAATGGAATATTATTCAGCCTTAAAAAGGAAAGAAATTCTGACACATGCTACAACATGGATGAAGCTCGAGGACATTAAGCTAAGTGAAATAAGCCAGTCACAAAAAGACAATATACTGTATGATTCCATTTTTATGAGGTACCTGGAACAGTCAAGTTCACAGAGACAGAAAGTAGAAGAGTGGTTGTCAGGAGCTGAGGGGGAGGCAGGAATGGGGGTTGTTATATACTGGGTACAGTTTGTTTTGCAAGATGAAGAGAGTTCTGGAGATTGGTTGCACAACAATGTGAATGAACCTACCACTACTGAACAATACGCTTAGAAATAGTTAAGATGGTAAATTTATGTTGTGTGCATTTTACAATTGTAAAAAGGGTGTTGGGGAGGCGGGGATGTGGATCTCTTCAAATAATGTAAAGCAACAGAACACCCATCCTATGGCACTGATGGAAGTGCCGCTGCTTCTCTCATGGGACAAGGCAGGATACAGTTTTCCTAGGGACCCACAAGCAGTCCAAATGACCCTATCCCAACTCTACCTCTAACTTATGCTTTTCCTCATCATTCCTTTCTCCCCACCACAAGAGGGAAACCTTTCCCTACAGCATTTCAAGGATAAATTTTCACACATATGTTTTTATCTTATCTCTTCTCATTTCCTCTAAAACTGTTCACTCATTATTCCTTGTCCAATCACCATCACCTATCTCCTTCTCCTCAGAGAAGAGGACCCTGAAATCATGACCCAAGCCGAAATCAAGAGCCTGCCGCTTAATCAACTGAGCCACCCAGGCACCCCCACAATCTGCATATACATATTACACATATGAAATATTATCTAAAAAAAACATTTTAATCAAACTGTATTAAACACTTCGTAGAAAGTTTCCTTATTTTAATTCCTTCATTGTTATGAAAAATAAACCTAAAAATATGCACAAGTCAAATGGTATTATAAATGCTCCGAAGAGGTTATGCAAGATCCCTTGACAATTAAATGTAATTACTATTTTGCAATCTTTTCTATGTATTTTTGCCTTAATTCACAAAGACGGTTTGATACAGAGATACTTAAGACACAGTCCCTGTACTCTAAGTATGGATATATAAGAGAACTAATGATCATAATATAATGTGAGAAGAGCTCCATAAGAGGCAGTTACAGGATACAAAGGGGGTACAAAAAGGGGCATCTAACTCAATCTGAGGCCAGGGTCTTCCAAAGGAGAAAGCATCTGGGCTGTCTTAATGAACAGAAAAAGCTGGCCAGATGAATGAGAAGTGAAGGTCATGGAGGCATAGGCCCCCGCAACATGTAAAAGCAAACAGTGAGAAGCAGAGCAAGTGACGGTCCTGCAGGTAGTTTGGTATGACTGGACCACATGCTAAGTGTGAAGGAGTGGTGGGAGATGAGCCCAGAAAATGAGGCATTAGCCAGATCGTGAAAAGTCTTGCCAAATGTGCTAAAGATTTTAGAAATTCCTGGAAGACAATTAGGAGTCTTTGAAGGATTTTTAAGGAGAGTTATATGTTCACATTTGTATTTTAGAAATTTAGGGCAGGGGCGCCTGGGAGGCTCAGTCGTTAAGCGTCTGCCTTCAGCTCGGGTCATGATCCCAGGGTCCTGGGATCGAGCCCCGCATCGGGCTCCCTGCTCCACGGGAAGCCTGCTTCTCCCTCTCCCACTCCCGCTGCTTGTGTTCCCTCTCTCGCTGTCAAATAAATAAAATCTTTAAAAAAAAAAAAAAAAGAAATTTAGGGCAATGTTGATATGTAATGAGGCTGAAAATAAGAGGGAAGTAGTTTATAAGAGACCATCATAACCCAAATCATTAATTACAAGAGTCAAAACAAAAGCCTTGGTACCAGAAAGGAGGTGGATTCCAAGATTAAGAAATAACTATCAATAGAATTTAGTGACTGATAATGTTGGGTAAGTGAAGGAGAAAAGTGAGTCTAGTATAACTAGATTTTTGCTTGGATTTGCTGCCATTTATCAAGATGAGGAATGATGAAAAAGGGTCAGATTTGCAATGGCAAATGAAGTTGTTAAGGATATCTGCAGCTTAAAGTCTGATATGACATCAAGAGAGATTTAGATGTCCAATAAACAGTAAGAAATGAGGATGTGGGAATGCAAAGGCAGGGTTGGACCAGAGATACAGACTTGGAATCAATACTGTATGTGTGAGAGTTGAAATGATGAGGAGTAAAGGTAACCAAGGAAGGGTGTTTGGAGCAAGAAGGCTACAGAGAACCCTAAAGAAGGGTCAACATTTGAGGGACTAAAAAAAAAAAGAGGATTCTGAAAGAGATTAAGGAACAAATTAGGTGTTAAATATCAAAAGACATCTCTGGGGTTTTGTGAATATTATGTATTTACTTTAGATTTAGTTTGTCTTAAATAAAGATCATGACCCCAAAAAAGTAGGGAAGAGAGGAAGGAAGGCCATAGTCTAAGCCAAAATTCCATGAGCACTGACAAGCAAGTTTATTAAATTGACCTCTTACTTTTCAGTAGGACGAAGTTCATGAATAACTGCTAAGAGCTTCAACAGCACCTGTAGTTTTCCGGACTCTTCCTCAGCAAACATGAGAGGGTTATAATCAGCAGGGAACACATCTACTAAGCCTTCATATAGACTCCTTTCTTCATTTCCATCCCAAGTTGAGCTGTATTCTTTTTCCTATGCAAAAGGATGACTGTTAACACTGGTTCATGTCTGTTAATTAGGATGGGGGAAAAATGCTAAAATTATGGGGGGGGGGGGAGTGAAGATTAATAGCTACCTGAAAAGAATACCAAGCTATTAATGTAAATCTTTATAGGTTACTGATTTGGTCATTTTTGAAAAAGGTCACCTGCATCCTACTGAGTTAATTACAGAGCAGTTCTGCTGTACCTAGTGCAGGCGATCTTCACCCTGCAAGGGCAGCATTGCTGCCCATGTGTTCCTTGGGAAGAGGAAGGGGGACAGCAGAGAAATAAGAGAGGAAACTAGGGTGCAAATAGTGATACAACATTTATTCTCTCCAAAACCTGAGATTTCTCATCCATAAGGCCCCTTTTTCTCTCTTCTCTCCTTCCCTCTATTACTTTTCTTTCCTGATTTGTGGGCTTCTCATAGCACCTCCTAAGTCATACTCAGAATCGATCCTAAGGGTTTACTCAATCTTAACAATTTCTTCTGCGTTAGGAACAATTCTGCGTAAGTTAACAGAGAAATGTATTCTTACTTATACTATTTTTGTTTATATTACCAACAGTTTTTTAGAATAATTTTATTCCAAAGTGATTAACAGCACCTCTGAAGTTTCTCCTCCAAAAGTGCCTAGCTGACATGTGAATACTTAGCCAGAAATACACTTATTAATAACTACATCACTTTTTAGATTAAATTTCTGAGACGGACTGGTCTCCTCCCTCTCTTCCACATTTACTGGATTGATCACTGTTCTTGAAACTTTGTTCAACCTACTCCACCTGCCTAGAAAGCTTCCTCATTTTTCTGTCCAATTATCTCAATCCTATAAATACTTAAGGACCCAATGCAAATTCTACCTGATTATTTATAAACCCTTTTTGGGGGGAGGTGGCAGACACTGACTCTTGAACTTTATGGTTACAAAGTACATTTCAGTTTTGGGCGCCTGGGTGGCTCAGTTGGTTAAGCAACTGCCTTTGGCTCAGGTCATGATCCCAGGGTCCTGAGATCAAGCCCCACATCGGGCTCCCTGCTCAGCGGGAGCCTGCTTCTCCCTCTCCCTCTACCTGCCACTCCGCCTGCTTATGCTCTCTTTCTCTGTCAAATAAATAAATCTTAAAAAAAAAAACCCAAAGTACATTTCAGTTTTGACCTTACTTGAGAAGTTAACTGTATACTTTATTATACTTCCCTATGTTTTCATGTGTGTTGTATTCTCTCTTTAATAATTCCAGGAACAGGGGTGCCTGGGTGGCTCAGTCAGTTAAGCGTCAGACTCTTGATTTTGGCTCAGGTCCTGATCTCAGGGTCCTGGGATCAAGCCCCACCTCAGGCTCCACATTCAGCAGGGAATCTTCTTGGATTATCTCTCTCCCTTTACCACCCCCCCACACAGCCCCACTCACACACAGTCTCTCTCTCTCTTTCAAATAAATAAATCAGTCTTTTAAAAAAATAATTCCAGGAACACCTTAAGGGCAGTGACTCTTGAAGTGTAAAATGCTGGGCACAAAGTACTGATTTTAATTTGGCTTATTCCCAAAATATAGCAATAGTTGGGTAAAGTCACTTGATTAAAAATACCTGGAACCCTAAGATATTAATATTACTGGGATATACAAGGGGAAAGAGACAGATGCTGGGTGCTTCAGATTAGGTCTGCTAAAATGCCAACACCTTGGAGAGGTCATCAAAGGACCACAGACAGACCCAGGATCTAGTCCACAACTTTTCATGTTCAGAAACTGAATCTGGTTAAGCTCTAGGCAAATGAGCCATACTAAGTATCAAATTAAGAGACTAAGTCAGAATATAAATTTATTCTCAAAGGAGACTCACCTATTTAAGCCAATTGGTCTATGCATTCTGTCATATGAAACCACAAGGCAAGCCAAATCATTAGCAAAAAGTTGTCTTGTGAATATTAAATCAAAATACAAGGGAGATGGTGATCTTATGGCCTAAGTTCTTAGCCAGGAACACGTAACCAGAATCCCCTGGGGAATCACTTCTTCCAAATCCTCATACTTGGGTCCTACTCTCAGATTCTCAATCAGTCCATATGGGTTGAGGCCTGGACAAATGTAGTTTTTTGTTTGTTTGTTTGTTTGCTTTAAGATTTTACTTATTTATTTGACAGAGACAGACACAGCAAGAGAGGGAACACAAGCAGGGGGAGTGGGTGAGGGAGAAGCAGGCCTCCCACCGAGCAGGGAGCCCGATGCGGGGCTCGATCCCAGGACCCCAGGATCACGACCCGAGCCGAAGGCAGACGCTCAACAACTGAGCCACCCAGGCGCCCCAAGGACAAATGTAGTTTTAAAAGCTTTCCAGATTATAATGCATAAGACCCCTAATTAAGAATCAACTAATAGATAATATCTTTATGTAGGACAGTCTGATGTATCACTTCCATCACAGGGATTTACCAGTTAGCCCTCTCAGATCAGCTAGTCACAGCACTCACTCTTCTGACTCTCTGTAGTCAATACGCTTTCGTTACCAGTTATACTTTTTTTTGATTATATTCCACTCACATTTCCTGAAAAGAAACCCATCACCCTGACTGAACTTGGGGGAAAAAAACTAGTTTCAACAGGAATATATTTACAAAAACATGGCTTAAACTTAATGCTTTATACACATGGAATGCTCATTTCAGGCATTTTCTAGCGATCCTCATTTGCTATGATGTTAGAGGAAAGGCTTTACCAAACAAGTCTCAGATTGTAAATTATGTACCCTCTTTGAAGCTTGTAGTATCCTATGCCTATTACTGGTTAACTGGTGCATTCTGGGCTGCCTTTTAAGGAAGAATTTGGGGCTTCTATTTTTGCTGGGCGTCATGCCCAAAGGGTTTAATTTTTATCACTGTATATAAAATCTGCTTCTTAAAAAGGTGATTAATAAATTGTTATAATCCTACCTACTTAAGAGTTACAGACTTCTCCTATGATAAACCATGTAAATATAACTCATTTAGGATAAACTTGAAGAATTCTGGTAGAACACTCCATTTTCTAAGTATATAACTATTGACCTCAAGCATAATGCAGCACCCACAGGTTTTCTTTCATTTTGTTTGCAAATTATGCTTTTAATATTTAAAGAAAAAATAAAAGAATAAAAGTTGTTTATTTAATAAAGTGTTAAGCATGCGCTGCGGGTAACAGAGTATTAATAGTTACTGTGTAACTTCTATGGCCAGGCATTTTGCTAGGTTCTTTCCATACCATTTCATCAAGTTGCCACAATAACATCCGAAGTTATTATTGTCTCTGCTTTAGAAATAAGAAAAATAAAAGCTCACAGATGTAACTTGACCATGATTAAATTTGTCATTAAAGAACTGGTAAATAGTAGAATGGGGACTAATACCCAGTTCTAACTCCAAAACAGAAAACTCTCACTGAGCTCCAAACTGCCTTATGTTTGTTAATTATCCAAATGGTTAGTTCAACTATACAACCATTAAAAATCACACTTGGAGAAGATACCTAATTTGAGAAAATGTTCATGATTTATTTAGTGAAAAAAGTAGATTTTAAAATAGCATAGGGGCGCTTGGGTGGCTCAGTCAGTTAAGCGGCTGCCTTTGGCTCAGGTCATGATCCCAGGGTCCTGGGATCGAGCCCCACATTGGGCTCCTTGTTCAGCGGGGAGCCTGCTTCTCCCCTGCCTGCCGTTCCCCCTGCTTATGCTTGCTCTCTGTCAATCTCTCTCTCTTTCTCTCTGTGTCAAATAAATAAATAAATCTTTAAAATAGTAAGCATAGCATTATTAAAATTAAGTTTCTCGGGGCACCTGGGTGGCTCAGTTGGTTAAGGGACTGCCTTCGGCTCAGCTCATGATCCTGGATCCCAGGATCTAGTCCCACATCAGGCTCCCTGCTCAGCAGGGAGTCTGCTTCTCCCTCTGACCCTACCCCCTCTCATGTGCTCTCACTCTCTCTCTCTCATGCTCTCTCAAATAAAGAAATAAAATCTTTTAAAAAATAATAATAAAATAAATAAATAAAATTAAGTTTCTCTAGAACAAGATTATATATGCATATCTTTGAACCCCTGTTCCCTCACCAAAAAGTGGGGCTAGTAATAACAATACTTACTCCATAGAGTTTTATAAAGAATAAACAATACTAGAAAAGCATTTAGTGTTTGGTACATAAGTCCTTATTAAGTATTGGCTAAGATTATTAATACTAAAATATGGGGTTTTTTTCTGGCTAGAAAGCTTTATTTCTTTATAATAAATTCTTAAAGTATGGCCAGGCCACAAAACATAAAATTTTAAGGCTTTGATATATATTGCAAACCTTCTTTCAGTTGTACCAATTTATATATATATTTTTTAAAGATTTTATTTATTTATTTATTTTGAGAGAGAGAATGAGAGACAGAGAGCATGAGAGGGAGGAGGGTCAGAGGGAGAAGCAGACTCCCTGCCGAGCAGGGAGCCCGATGCAGGACTCGATCCCGGGACTCCAGGATCATGACCTGAGCCGAAGGCAGTCGCTTAACCAACTGAGCCACCCAGGCGCCCCCAATTTATATTCTAACCAGCAGATGACTTTAATTTTCTTCTGATTTTCTGAATTTTATAAATTTCATACAAATTGAATGTATCATGTATTACTTTTATAATGGGAAAAAATTAAATTTTCAATGATAAATTTTGTATTTGTCTGCACCAAACAAAACTGACTGGCTATATAAAATAGGGAGAGAAAACACAGCAAAGTATTAGACGAGAGGGGTGCCTGGGTGGCTCAGTCGTTAAGCATCTGCCTTCGGCTCAGGCCATGATCCCAGGGTCCTGGGATCGAGCCCCACATCGGGCTCCTTGCTCAGCAGGAAGCCTGCTTCTCTCTCTCCCACTCCCCCTGCTTGTGTTCCCTCTCTCGCTGTCTCTCTCGCTGTCAAATAAATTAATAAAATCTTAAAAAAAAAAAAGTATTAGACGAGATACCAAAGGGCATGGGGCAAATTCTAGAAGGCAGTGCCTCACATCCATTTCACCCCTACTTTAATCCTATGAATATGGACAGTCTCTCAACAAAGGGAAGACTGGATAAGTTGTAGAGATGAAACATATAGGAGAGGCTGTAAAGCTTTTGGAAAACCCACAAATGTAACCCCTGGGATTGGCCCAATCTGCCCTCTTACATTCATATGACACAGAACCCTTAGCTCATATCCTTGACACAGTCTCACATACTACTTACCTTTATAGAGTTGAACAACAGGCAGGGGTGGTTGCACAGTTTTTTAAGAGCTCCTATACATATTAGATGAGGACTATTTCCCAACAACCCCTGAAGGCAGAACCTGACAGCCTGAGAATTCAACAGCTTTCGATAAAGCTCAACCTGTAGCGCTCTTGGTCGGCAAAAGACTACATTCTCTATTTTAGGTGGAAGATATTTATTTATGACTTCTTGGGTTCTTCTAAGGATAAAGAGTCCAGTAAGGCAAGTAAGTTCAGCTGCTCTTTTCTCTCCTAACTCCTTTTCTTCCTATGGAAAAATCGCAAATTTAAAAGTGTTATAAACTAAAGAATACTTGTAACTAAAAAGGAATATTAAACATCTTATAATAACAAACCATTTACTAATTATGTCCCTTCAGATTTTTTTTTTTTTTTTACAGAATAAATGCAGTATGAGTTTGGGATAGAAAAACCAACCACCATCTCTTTAAAGGTTCAGCATAATCATTTAATTAAATGAACCAGTCTCCTCATCCTTGTTTGGCTATTGGCCCATTGAGAGCCATCAGAAATCAACAATCTACAAACTAAATTATTCTAAAAGTAAGCTTTTATGTGAAGACTATCATGGTACATAAGTCTTAAAATCATCAACAAAGAACTAATTCAGCAAATTCTTGGAAGCAAATATTTTGACAAGTTATTGATCCTAAAATTAAACCCACAAGAATTACTGACACAAGGCACAGCTAATTCTTTCAAAATCATTACATATTGTTCATTAGAAATGCTAGTTTCCAATTCGTCTGTTTCCTTTGGTTTGTTTCTAAATTTTTACCACAATACCTTAAGTCAAAATACCATATGGGTGAAATATATGTTTAAATTCTCTTTTGAGTATACATAACTTCACAGTGAAGATTAAAATAAAATCCCATATGTATATATTCATTTCTATATAAACCATAAAAAATTCCCACATGATGTAATGAGTAGCATAAATAAAAATTTAAATTTAATTCTTTGTGAAGTACCTAGTGAAGTACCTACTTATGATTTTTTTAATGTGATATTTCCTAAAATAAAGAATGCAGGAAGAGTTGAAGACTGATGAATCACTAAACTACCTCTGAAACTAATAATACACTATATGTTAATTGAATTTAAATTTAAAAATTAAAAATAAATAAAAATAAATATTAGAAAAATAAAAATTTTTTAAAAAATCATAAAAAATTCCCCTCATATTTTAAAACTATTTTCAACTTTTATTACAAAAGAAATAGATTCGGAGCGCCTGGGTGGCTCAGTTGGTTAAGCGACTGCCTTCGGCTCAGGTCATGATCCTGGAGTCCCGGGATTGAGTCCCACATCGGGCTCCCTACTCAGCAGGGAGTCCGCCTCTCTCTCTGACCCTCCCCCCTCTCATGCTCTCTATCTCATTCTCTCTCTCAAATAAATAAAATCTTTAAAAAAAAAAAAAAAGAAATAGATTCACTGAAAACAAATAGGTTCACTGAGGAAAAGCAAGAAAATATAGTTATTTAAAATTAAGAAAATTAAAACCTACTTTAATCAACCAGAAACAACCATTGCTGTCATGACTTTTTGTCTATCTTCCAAGTCTTTTTTCTTTATGTCAAATATGTAAATGTATTTGACATTTTATTTTTATTTTTATTTTCCTGTTTGTAACAAAAACAGACCTCTATAGTTAAAGCTTTATGGGAACAAGGCACCCGTCAGTTTGGCTCTTCACTGTATTCCTTAGGATCTAACACTTTGCATTTTGCCCACTATAGGTGTTTAACATATATATGTGTTAGGTAAATAAATGAATGTGATTTTACTTTTAAATAATGTATGATGGATATTTTCCATGCTATTAAATATATTCATAAGTTGTTATTTTGTATAGTTCCTGGTTCATGGGAAATGCTCAATAAATATCTGCTATCATTTTATTAATTCTGAGACTTCTTTTTTACACTTTAACTTCTCTGACATAGATTGTGTTTTATAAGCAATGCCTTCTTATAACTATAATTGATAGCACGTTTTCCTTAGTGGTTCATAAAATAATGATGCATCTAATTGATGTTATTTTAGATTCCATGGAATACATTGTGTATACAACATGCAGACTCTGCTTTAACCATTTTCCTATCTTTAGAAATGTCTGTTTCCAATTTGTTTCCTTATACTTTTTTATCCTTACAGCTAAGCTGTATTAGATACAGATAAGCTGTGCTTATCCTTAAGCACATCTATGATTATTTCTCTATAATAAATTCTTAAAAGTGGTATTGCCACACCACAAAATATACACAATTTTAAGGCTTTTGATACATGCGCCCAACTAGTCTCTAGTTGTACCAATTTACATTCCAACCAGCAGAGGACAGTACTCTCATTTATACTTGCTATTCCTATGTAAATTGAGCCAACAAAAACACCAACAGAAGAGTATAAAAGTTATTTTATGGTTATTTTGGTTTACTTTTTTCAATATCAGTAAAATGAATATTTTTATATGTTTACTGTCACTTACAATTCTTTGTGAAGTACCTGGTGAAGTACCTACTTATGATTTTTTTAATGTGATATTTCCTAAAATAAAGAATGCAGGAAGAGTTGAAGGATTGTGGGAAAATAAAGAATTCACTAATTTAATTTTTCCTGAATTAAATAATGCCCAAGTTGTGGATGACTTTCCTGGGCATACTGCTTTTTTTTAACCTTTTTATAAAAGTAAATTATACCTCAGAAGTAGAAGGCTGTCTGGATATAATGATGGGTTCTTCATATATTTTTCTGTAAGATGACAAAGAGCCTAATATTCCTGGATTTACAAAATCAATTAATGCAAAAAATTCTTGAAGATCATTCTGAACTGGAGTACCTAAAGAAAGAAAAAAGTGATGAAAAGGTCAAGTTTGTGTTTTACAGTCACAGGGGTTTGTACAACATTGTACTCTCTTCCCTAAGAAAACTAAAAGAAAGGCTTTAGAGCTGAGAAAGAGCAGCCAAACCCAGCTGAACAAAAAATATTAAGAATCAAATAAATTTTTAACTCTGGCTTTAACTGTGTACTAAATTCAGCATAGTGGCTGCATACAGGCTTGGAGTCTGACTAGCCTGGGATCAAATCCCACCTGTATCATTTACTCTGAGTGACCCTGAGCAAGACACATACCTCAGTTGATTTCTATAAAATGCAGCTCCTAGGGTTTGAGGATCAAATTAGTTAATCCATATACTAAACTAAGAACAGTGCCTAAAGCACAATAAAGTTCCATAACTGTTAGTGATTCTTAATATTATTATAACTGTGTGATTCTGGACAAGTTTCTTAAGCTCTTTAAGTTAAATTCAGAACTTTTTCACTTATAAAAGTGGGAAGCTAACAATTTCCCAGTGGTATTACAGTGAAAAGTGGAGACTCCGTATGCACACTATAGCACAGTGCCTAACAGTGAGTAAACACTCAGTGAATGGCACCTATTACCTTTCAAAGTTTTCAGATCAGACTGAGATCTTCACTAATCCTAAAGGTTGACACAAATGGATTAATATACCCTGCATATATTACATACTCAGTAACTTTTGCTAACTAATTTTCAAAGAAACATTAGCCTGTTTCAATGATTACATCAAAAGAACGTGTAAATCAGCATAGTCCAACAGTATAGTTTCAGATGACATTCAAATAACAGACTAGAAAAAGTTGTCCAAAAATATAAATAATATAAGAGATAATATAAGAGGTATATATAAGAGGTAAATAAAAATGCACTTCTTCATTAACATAGACAACATAAATTTTACAATGCCAGGGAATTTAATGATTGCTTCCCTCAAAATTAAATGGGTCCACTCCAGGACCAATGCTAATTAATTTTTTTAACACATCTAGTCAGTTCTAAATTTTTGGACCCATAGTAGAAAAAATTAGAGAAAATATATTTATGTTGGTATGTATTTTTTTAATAAGCCTTTAAATGAATTTCCATGACGATGACTAATAAAGATACACAGAATGAAAAAGGCAAGAAAGAAAGGGGAAACAAAGATATAAGGATCCTTATGGCTGGCTTCCAGACATTTATCCAAACCCAGCTAACTAATCTAAGCCACTCATGATAGTCCAATCCCATTTGCCAATAATCGACGCAGGGAAGCATTTGTGTCTTAAACTGGGTTCTCCAGGAGCAGAGCCTGAGACAGGGATTTGGCTGTACAACATTTATGGAGGGAAAGCTCTCAGGAGAAAGAGAATAATGGAATCAGAGAATAGCAGGGGAAGAAACTAAGCAAGGATGGCCTCCTTGAGCCTGAGATAAATTATAGCAAGGCTCAGAACATAAATTGTACCATAAAGTTGGTCCTGAAATTACCCTAAGGCAAGGGCTCTGGCATTTTCCACTTACCTCTATATGAGTCAACCACAGACCAAGTTACAGGGGAGAGTGGAAGCTCTCATTCAAACAGGATAATTCTCCAGAAATTGGAAGGGCCACACAAGACCAAAGTGAGTTGTGGGAGGAAAGCTACATTGAGCTACTCGGGCCTGATTCTAGCCTAGGCTAAAAAGAAGTGAGTAGAAAAAGATTCTTAGGGCGCCTGGGTGACTCAGTTGGTTAAGCAACTGCCTTCGGCTCAGGTCATGATCCTGGAGTCCCGGGCTCCCTCCCTCAGCGGGGAGTCTGCTTCTCCCTCTGATCCTCCCCCTCTCATGCTCTCTGTCTCCCATTCTCTCAGATAAATAAATAAAATCTTTAAAAAAAAAAAAAGATTCTTGTATTTACATATGGGCCATCCCACCTTTCCAGTCTGGGCCAGCAAGTTCGGCCAGCAAATTATGTGCATGCAGCATATACATATAAAAACAAGGGATATGGGTGCCTGGGTGGCTCAGTCGTTAAGCGTCTGCCTTCCGCTCAGGTCACAATCCCAGGGTCCTGGGTTCGAGCCCAGCATTGGGCTACCTGCTCTGCGGGAAGCCTGCTTCTCCCTCTCTCACTTCCCCTGCTTGTGTTCCCTCTCTCGATGTGTCTCTCTCTGTCAAATGAATAAATAAAATCTTAAAAAAAAAAAAAATAAGGGATACTTATATTAAGCATTTACCATGTGTCAGGTAGTCTTCCAAGAACTTTATGTGAATTAACTCCTTAGACCTTCACAGTAACTCTATGAAGTAAATGGTTTTATAATCCTTATTTCATAGATAAGGAAACTAAAGCAAAGAGAAGTTAAATAACTTGCCCAAAGCTGTACAGCTGTACATATCACCCTTAAGAACCAAGCAGAGGCAGTCCAGACCCATCTCCTAGATTCTTTACCATGATACCACTGTATTTATTTTTCAAAAACCTCAAAATGTAGGTTACAGAAAATTACATAGGGATTTGAAAATTCAGAATCCTACCAAGACTCAATTACCATAGGTTTATTAGTATGCATTCCATCCAGCACCACCAATTCTTTGGTTGCCAAGCATATTACAAATCTTGTAAGTAGGCAAAAATTCTATCATATCATCCCAAAGTAAATACTGACCAGTTAGAATTACTCTTTTCTCACAAGAGAGGCTAATGAGGGCTGTAGTTGTCTTAATGGCACTGTTCTTCAAACGATGCCCCTCATCACAGATTAGAAGATCAAATTTTACATTCTTAATTTGATCCAAAGAACGAAGTAACATTTCATAACTGATGATAAGAACAGAATAAAACGGAGATTTGGTGAATTCTTCTACTTTATGGTCCTAAAAAAAAAAAAAGATAATATCTAACAAATCATGGGCTAAAACTATAAAATCAAATTCAAGCAGCATATTCTTGACAGACATTAATTAGAATATGTTAACTCAAAGCCAAGTTGTAAGCCAAGATGCTATTTTTATGCAAAGGAGTTGGAGAGTTATATGCACTTGAAAAACTACCCTACAAACAGTGAAAACTGCAGTGTTGATTTGAAAAGCACAGAAATTTAGAAAATGACCAAAGATGAACTGTTATAAGTCTCTTACCTGATCAACAGGAAATATCTTGATTCTTTCACTTCCTAGCCATTTTTGAAATTCCTTCCTCCAATTATTCACCAAGCTTCCAGGTGTGACAATAAGCGTCTTCTTTATTACTGGCTTGCCTCCATAGGGTCCCTGACACTGTAGAGTCCAGATGAGCGAAATACATTGCAACGTTTTCCCTAAACCCATTTCATCAGCAAGAATAGCTCCACATCTTCCATTCACTCTGTTAGAAATAATTATACTTCTTCTAGTCACAATAGGAAAATATTTTATGCCCCTAATATCATCATTTACTAGTCAAGAACCAAAAGCTGGTATTTTGTAATTAGGACAAACTCTACCCTCCCAAACCCTTTATCTAGATTTTCATGCAGCTGATTTACAATATATCTCTCTTTTGAATCTTTGATAATTATATTCATTATATATTTACTGTCAACTAAATTACTAAAACAAATCTGAAATTAGACAGTTGAATCTAAATCATCTGTTACTATCATATGCATATATTTAGACACTAGAAATGTATCCCAATTTTATATCTACATTTGAATAATTTAACTCTGCTTCTCATCACTAACAGTTGAACAATTTTTATTAGTTTCAGCATTAGACATCTAAACAGTTTAAACTACATTGCAATCTTAACCAGAAAGATCTGTTGAGCTATATTTATGATTCTCTGGCAGTAAATGAAGTCCTCAATCATAGTGCTCCCTGCACTGTAAGAAAAAAAAAAACACCTAAATATTGATCTAATATATATATATATATATATATGTAACTTGGTAATAGTCTTATCCTACAGACCCACTCAGTTAATGCAATTTAAAATTAAATATTATAAGGAATATTATTAATAAGTGGCATGTTTATATCACTTTGTAGCTATTAAAGCTCTTTGATACATATATATATATTTTTTAAAGATTTTATTTATTTATTTGAGAAAGAGAGGGAGAGGGAGATGTGGACTCCCCACTGAGCAGGAAACCCAATGCAGAGCTAGATCCCAGGACCCCGGGACCATGACCTGAGCCAAAGGCAGATGCTTAACCAACTGAGCCACCCAAGTATCCCTATTTATATATCTTTTAAAAGTTACAAAGTCCAAAGGAATTAAGGATAGTACCAAAAATAAGTACAGTGTTCTTTCTCTGACTTACTTCACTTAGCATAATACTCTAGTTTCATCCATGTCATAGCAAATGGCAAGATTTCATTCTTTTTTATGGCTGAGTAATTATTCCATTGTGTATATATACATCTTCTTTATCCATTCATCAGTCGATGGACACTTGGGCTATTTCCATAATTTGGCTATTGTAGATAATGCTGCCATAAACATTGGGGTGCATGTATGCCTTTGAATGAGTATTTTTGTATTCTTTGGGTAATCTCTTTGAATTAGCATTTTTGTATTCTTTGGGCAAATATTTGCTGCATCATAAGGTAATTCTATTTTTAACTTTTTGAGGAACCTCCATACTGTTTCCCAGAGTAGCTGCACCAGTTTGCATTCCCACCAACAGTGTAAGAGGGTTCCTATTTTTCCATATCCTCGCCAACATCTGTCGTTTCTTGCATTACTGATTTTAGCCATTCTGACAGGTGTGAGGTGGATATCTCATTATAGTTTTGATTTGTATTTCCCTAATGATGAGTGATGTTGATTTTACTCATATGTGGAATTTAAGAAACAAAACAAACAAGCATAGGGGAAAAAAGAAAGAGGCAAACCAAGAAACAGACTCTTTACTATAGAGAAGAAACGGATGGCTACCAGAGGGGAGGTGGGTGGGGGGATGGGTTAAATAGGTGATGGGTATTGAGGAGGACATTCTTTTTTTTAAAGATTTTATTTATTTATTTGACAGAGAGACAGCGAGAGAGGGAACACAAGCAGGGGGAGTGGGAGAGGGAGAAGCAGGCTTCCCGCGGAGTAGGGAGCCCAATGTGGGGCTCAATCCCAGGACCCTGGGATCAAGACCTGAGCCGAAGGCAGACGCTTAACCGTCTGAGCCACCCAGGCACCCAAGGAGGGCATTTATGATGAGCACCGGGTGTTGTATAGAAGGGCTGAATGACTCAACTGTACACCTGAAACTTAATATTACACTGTATGTTAACTGGAATTTAAATTTTAAAAAAATAAGTACAGTTTTATTATAGTTTAATTCTTTTTCTTAAGTAAAAATAATAACCAAAAATCAACTATGTTTTCCATTTCAAAGTACAGAAAAAAAAAAATCACAAACATGAATTACAGCCATTATTATCAATTTTTTAAAGATTTTATTATTTATTTGTCAGTGAGAGAGAGAGAGAGCACAAGCAGGGGGAGTGGCAGGAGCCTGACACGGGGCTCAATCCCAGGACTCTGGGATCATGACTTGAGCCGAAGGCAGATGCTTAACCAATTAGGCCATCCAGACACTTCTATTATCATTTTTTTTAAAGACTTTATGGGCGCCTGGGTGGCTCAGTCATTAAGCGTCTGCCTTCGGCTTGGGTCATGATCCCAGGATCCTGGGATTGAGCCCCACATCGGGCTCCCTGCTCTGCGGGAGGCCTGCTTCTCCCTCTCCCACTCCCCCTGCTTGTGTTCCCTCTCTCGCTGTGTCTCTGTCAAATAAATAAATAAAAGCTTTAAAAAAAAAAAGACTTTTTTTTTTAAGTAATCTCTACACGCAATGTGGGGCTCAAACTCACAACTGTGAGATCAAGATATGCATGCTCTACCAACTAAGCCAGCCAGTCGGGCACCCCCATTATCATTTTAGACCAACAACTTGACAATGCAAGTTGTAAAGATGGCCCTTTTCAAAGGTGAACAGGAATTCATTACATGAATCAAGTAGTTCAACATTGTTGGAGCTTGAACTGAATTCCAAGGAAGGAAACACAAAGGCTATGAACCTGGCAAGACAGGGAGAGACTAAAGATGGCATACTTTATCCTTGAAAGTTCAGACTGTATCTTGCAGGTGTCTCCCAAACATCAGTCCTTCATGACCACCATCACTATGTTGCTATATGTGATACCATATGTGTTATATTATTTATTTTTAAGTTGGCTCCCTTTTTAACTTAGATTTATTTGAAAACTCAAGCATAATTTATCCATGAAACCAAAAACTTAATATGCTACTTTTTTCCAACAATTCACTAACTAAATATGCTACTATTGAAATTTAAAAACAAGGTGTGGGGCTCCTGACTGGTTCGGTCAGTGGAGTGTGCAACTCTTGATCTCGGGGTTGTGAGTTTGAGTCCCACATTAGGTATAGAGATTACTTAGAGGTACCTGCGTGGCTCAGTCAGGTTAAGCATCCAACTCTTGCTTTCAGGTCAGGTCATGATCTCAGGGTCATGAGGTGGAGCCCCACGTTGGGCTCCATGATCAGCGGAGCACTCTCTCTCTGCCCCTCTCCCCCACACACTTGTGTTCTCTCTCTCTCTCTAAAATAATAAATAAATGTTTTTTAAAAAAGGAATTGCTTGGGGCGCCTGGGTGGCTCAGTCGTTAAGCGTCTGCCTTCGGCTCAGGTCATGATCCCAGGGTCCTGGGATGGAGCCTCCCCAAGCCTGCTTCTCCCCCATGCTTGTGTGGGCGCGCACGCACTCTCTCTCTCTGTCAAATAAATAAAATCTGAAAAAAAATAAATAAATAAACGGGAGTGAGGGAGACTTTCTTTTTTTTAAGTAGAGGTAAGGTAAGAAAACGTTTTTTTCCATAAGCAGAATTAAAGGCTACTTCCATTTTGCCTCATAACCCTTTCTCATACTAGTAAGCTCTAATTGTACCACATTAAGGTTGACTATATGTACCTATTTCCTCAAATACTTTAAAAACTACTTAAGGGTAGGGACCTTGGTCCTGACTCCTATATGCCCAGCTCCTAGCAGGATGTCTGGCACATGGCATCCTTAAAAATCACTTTTAGAATAAATGCACACATTAAGTATCATTCATGAAATACTGAGACTCATCATATCAGGCTTTTTCTAGAAAACCATTACAGGTTAAATCAAAACTCAGATTAGACTAAGGGTACCTGGCTGGCTCAGTCAGTAGAGCATGCAACTCTTGATCTCAGGGTTGAGTTAGAGCTCTATGTTGGGTGTACAGATTACTTAAAAAAAAATAAAATCTTTAAAAAAACAAAAAACAAAAAGTCAGATTAGACTAAACAAATTATTTATTTTCCTACCTCATTCCCATTACACATTCATAAAGGAATATGATTCCTTCTTTCTGATGTGGTCGGAGATGATATACAAGATGAGGATCTATCACCACATCCACAATAGGGAAACAGTTCTTATTGAACATCCACTGGTGATTATTGTCAGGTCGTGACATTACAAGAGAATCTTAAGAAAAAGATGAAAGTTTAACTATTAATGTATTGCAATTTTACTTTGTCAGCAACTACATTATCTTGCTTTAATTACTCATAGCCTATAACTATTTGCCATCATTTGTGGCAAAAAAAAAAGTTGATGTTTAGTAAAACTGATACTAAGCAAGAATAGAAAATTAAAAAATAATCTCATGCTTTACTGCTATAAGATTTCAGGCAGAGAATTTCAAAGAGCTTTCCAAACTTCATTTGCCCCAAAGTATTTCAAAGCCAATGAAATTCACTATTGTTTAGTAAAGAATTCAGTAAGCCACAACATTTAATAGTTCAGTACTCAGAGCAAAGAGAACTATCTCCAACTGAAGTACAGGCTGGAATTTTTCCAAGTTGCACTTGCACTTTCCAAGCTCACAGCTTCTTATTTTGAAAAGGCACCCTAAATTTAACATAAAGGCTCCCATTATCTTCACTTCTATACACACAATGACTATTACTTCTATTAATCAGAAGATTGAGAAAGGATGACAAATTTTTCCATTGACTTCACCATCATTATTTGCTTAAAGTTAATTATTATGTTCATGAATGTGAAATTCATGAATCTCTGCAAAGCAGCAAAAAAAAAAAAGTAACCATAGAATAATAATGTAATTCTGTAGAAATATACTAATACAATTTAAAAGATTAAAATACCACCAAAAAATACAAAATCAAATATAATTGGAAAGCAGTTCTCAATTAATAAATCTAAAGTCAGATAATAAACTCATCAAAATTATTTTGGGGATATACTTATACATCTACATCATGGTTAAAAAATGAAATAGATTTTTAAAATAAAACAAAAAGGAAAAAGAGAAGGACAGAAATGAGAATGGAAGATAAAACAGGTTCCAGGAGATTAAATTAATATCCACCAATGCAGAAATACAGTCACAGGAATGACAGTTTGGTCATGTTTACCATTAGCAGTCACCCAGAGGGAATTTTTCTGTGGATCTTCCTAGGTTTCTGAGCAACTAAAAGGAACTCCCATTTTTGAGGTCAATTCCTGGCAGGTAGAGGATTAGGGAGTGAAAATGGAAAATTCAGCCCCCAGCATTCCTCTATATTCCAGTAGCAAAGCAAGAATATATTCCTTGTGTTTTCCTAACCAAGAAATGGCCCCATTTTTTTTTCTCTTTTGAAAAGCACAAAGGGGAAAAAAGAGAAGACAGAGGTGAGGAGAATTCACTTCTCAAGCAAGAAGGACCATAGAATCTAAGTCAACTAACAAAGCATCCATCTTCAAGAAAGGTAAAACTTAAAACGACCAATCAATAATGGAACACCAGGGGGCGCCTGGGTTGCTCAGTCATTAAGCGTCTGCCTTCGGCTCAGGTCATGGTCCCAGGGTCCTGGGATCAAGCCCCGCATCAGGCTCCCTGCGCAGCGGGAGGCCTGCTTCTCCCTCTCCCACTCCCCCTGCTTGTGTTCCCTCTCTCGCTGTGTCTCTCTCTGTCAAATAAATAAACAAAATCTTAAAATAATACTAATAATAATGGGACACCCGTTCAAATTTTAAAATGCCTCTCTATCTTCACAATAATGAAGCACATCACTTAGTGCTTATAAAATCTTTCATGTTTTCATTTTAAGTCTACAACCTAATTCTACCCTTGGCAAAATAAATAAATGAGCATCATCAACTATTTACCACATACACAAAGGGTTCTTATTATATTATACGCATACATATGTATATGTACACATATATATACAATCACGATAAAATTTTTCATTCAGTCAACAAGTATTATACACAGCATTTGCAGCACTCTATGTCTCTATGGCAGTGATTCACCCCACATTGTAGACTTGAGGAGACAAAGCCATGAGTGAGGTAAGTGACTACCCCCAAGAAGTCAAAGAACCAGTTAGTTCAGTGGCAAAATCGGGACTCTTAACTCACGTCTTTGGATAAGCACATTATTCTTTTGGTTCCCCATATCCCTCTATTATGTAAAAGGAAGACAAACAGAAAGAAGAATAAAGGAGAAGGAAGCCTGTTAAAAGAGATGGCAGGACAGATAAAATATTTGGATAAAAAATAAAAAAGCAGAAGCAGAAGCTTCCACTCCCTTTCAATTAAGTCTCAGATAAGCTCACATAGAGATAGGAATTTTTTTTTTATTATGTTCAGTTAGCCAACATCCTTAGTTTTTTTTTTTTCTTTTCTTTTTTTTTTAGGTTTTATTTATTTATTTATTTGAGAGAGAGAGAGAGAGAAAAACAGCATGAGAGGGGATAGGGTCAGAGGGAGAAGCAGGCTCCCCGCTGAGCCGGGAGCCCGATGTGGGACTCGATCCCAGGACTCCGGGATCATGACCTGAGCCGAAGGCAGTCGCTTAACCAACTGAGCCACCCAGGCGCACCAACATCCTTAGTTTTTAATGTAGTGTTCAACGATTCATTAGTTGTGTATAACACCCAGTAGAGTTAGGAATTTTAATTTGGGGTTTTTATCCCAAATTTGTCAATAATTATTTTAATTTCAGCAATTTCAGTTCATCTTTCTGGCCTCAGTTTTCTTCAAATGCAAAGAGACTGAACTAAATGATCTCAAAGGCCCCTTTATTTCAAAAATCCTATTTCCATAATACTTGCAAAAAATAATTACGTTGCTTTATGTACTTTTTATTTTACTACTAATATGAAAGCAGCCTACTCTATACCCCAACTTTGACATCCACTGCCTCCTCACCAAATGAGAAGATCTTTGATAACAGTTTACCACTGGGCCCAATGCAAAAAAAGGCACCGAAGAAATCCCTGCTTGCATAAACAATCAAAACAAACAACCAAACAAAAACAAAAAAAACAGGCAAGGGTTTATTTTTTAATATGATTTTTAAATTAGATTCATAAATGTGAAAATTAGTTCATTAAATTGAATTCTCATGAGTAAAATTTAAATTCTTTACCTGCTATCCCACCATTCAACATTTTAATACACTAATGTATGCTATCAAGACATACAGTCATCAAAAGAGAAGTATAAACATAATCCTCACTCACGAATTGACTAATATTTCTTTTTGCTGAAGATGTCAGATATTACTCAAAATCATTACGTATATATATGTGAATGTGTGTGTATACATCTCCAATCTGTGTATTTTTCCTTCAACACAAAATATGACATTTTCATTACTGTATTCTTAGAATTATACATTTACCTATACAATTCCCAAACTATATTATACAACTTCAACATTATTCCTTATTTCAGTTGTTACCTGAATAATATATACTTTCATCTGAAAACTTTAAACAAAACTTAAACTTTAAATTCACATGCCAAATATCTTTTGACAGTAAAAACAGAATATTCAAATTATTTTTTACATCTTACTTGGTACATGTGGGTCATGGCGTGGTTTACAATCTTGGAAACCATTCAGTCTATTTTCCTTTGAACTTGGTTTACAAACACTTTTGAAGGGGTTAGAGAAACACTTCTTGGCAGCTTGAGAAGAACTTGAGATAGCAGGGCTTCCTCCTCCAAGCTGAAAACATCTGCCACTGTTGAAATCATCTGGAGAGATTATACCCATGACTTCTACTTCTTTTCCACCAATCATCACTCTGTGGCCCTCTTCAATCTTTTCAAGCTCTTTGAATTTATATGCAATGCCTTTAAATTGAGAGGGGAGAATGTGAATTTAATTTACGGATACCCTAAGATGACTTAATCAGTGATACCATAGTCACCTTCTCATAACTGTACAGAATGAAAACTGTGCTTTGAATGCAAATATCCTTGTATAACCCATTAACCAGAATGAAAACATAATTTATCATTTTGTCTAAAAAAAAAAAAACTAAAAAATCAGAAGGAATAAATAATAAAGCTATAAAAATGAGCCAAACTCTAGAGAAAGCAAGGCCTTTTTTAATTATTGAAAATGTAGCTAGGGCTGCTGGCTGGCTCAGTAGGTAGAGCATGTGACTTTTTTTTTTTTTTTTGAGAGAGAGAGAGATGGGGAGGAGGAGAGGGAGAAAGAGAGAGAGAGAGGGAATCTTAAGCAGGCTTGCCCAGCAAGGAGCGCAATGCGGCACTCAATCCCACAACCCTGAGATCATGACCTAAGCCAAAACTAAGGGTCAGAGAGTTAACCGACTGAGCCACCTAGGCAACCCTCAATATTTTTATAATAAAATTCTGTTGCAGATAATTCAGTTCAGCCTCAACTCTCACTCTTGTCACTGACCTTCACATACTACATTCCTGAAATGCTGAACCAGTAGTTTTCTCTCCTTTTGTGCCTTTGTATATACTATTCCCTCTTATGTATGCCCCTTTCTCATACCCTACAAAACTATCTTCAAATACTACCTTAAACAATTAACTCCTATGAAGCTTTCCCCAGCCTCCTAGGCAGACCTAAATGCTCCTTCTATCTCCCACCGCAGGGAGTAAAATTCTCAATGGAACAATTATCTTACTGCCTCCTATCAATTACATTTGCCTTATCCCCACTAAACTAGAAATTATATCCATTTTTGAATGTTTACTCCTAGCATAGTGCTTGGCACTTAACAGTTACATACTATAAAGTATGATATTATTAAATGAATGAATGAATGAACATATAGAATGGATTTTATAGGGGCGCCTGGATGGCTCAGTTGGTAAGCGTCTGTCTTTGGCTCAGGTCATGATCTCAGGGTCCTGGGATCGAGCCCCACATTGGGCTCCCTGCTCGGCGGGAAGCCTGCTTCTCCCTCTCCCACTCCCCCTGCTTGTGTTCCCTCTCTCACTTTGTCTGTCAAATAAATAAAATCTTAAAAAAAAAAAAAAAAAAAAAAAAACGGATTTTATAGTAATGGGCCATATTCAAAATGAACAATAAGAGACAATGTCAAAAAACATGGTTGGTATTAAGCATTCTGAATTTGTGAGCTAACTTGTATTAGTACAAATCATTCTGGCAACATTTTATAATAGAATTAATGATGACCTCCAGTGTAGATGTATTAATCTAGACATACCTAGCCATGTTTTTTTTTTTTTTTTTCAAAATTTTATTGGGTATCATTGAAATTAGATAATATTCCACTCCTGAAATCAACATCTTTCTAACACTAATCATTTAGCACTGGACTGGGGGGGGGGGGGGCAGGGAGTACACTAAGACAAACTGCTTAATCTCAGAAAAATACCAAAATAATCGTATATAACGATTTCATTTTAGAGAAAATGAATCCATGGGATAGGATTTGCTTCACTGAGCTAGTATTCATAAGACTGTTATTAGACTATTATGAGATAATTTAGACATGCAAGTGAAAGAGCATCTTAATCTCACCCTTTATAAAATCCAATCATTTTAATTATGTAACCTCAGATCTATACGAATTTTAGGCCAAATCATAAACATCAGGGAATATCACAATACCTCTTCCAATGTCTTTGCCTTCCAAATCCTTTAATGTAAGTGACTTTCCCTTTACAATGAGAACAGCATCACCTTCCCACTTTTTGTGTTTTTTCTTTGAAGCCTTACACCAAACAACACTGAAATATTTAACTAGGCTATCAGGTTCTTCCTCTTCTTGTCCTTTAGGTACTGTTATTTCTTTAGGGGCTGAGTGAACTAGAATTAAAAAAAAATAATAAAATAAAATAAAAATCACATTGTTAGAGATAGTCAACTTGAAGTAGTAAGGTCATTTGAACAAAAATAAAAGCATAAGAAAATTAGATGGTACATAAAAATTATGAAAGAATATTTGATCATACTCCAGTTAGTATTTTATAAATTGAGAAATTCAAATGTCAGGTCTAGCATGACCATGAGAACAATGAATATAAATTTCTTATTATCTCAAAGTTATATAAACTCAGTTTAAGTAGAATAATGTAATTACTGCAAACATTTTAAAACTCTAGGAACTAAAGGTAAATTTTCAACATCCATGGGAAAAGTATCTACTTCCAATTTTGAATTTTGGTCTTTTCCCGGGGCTAGTTAGTGATACATGGTCCAATCCTCTCTTGTGAAGCTGGGCAGCAGCAGCAAGTCACACCTCCCTGTCTGCCATGAAACCATGAGGGTAAACAACCAAGACACTCACAACCATTGTTTTTCACTCTCACTATTCAATAAATTACACAAGATAGTCAACACTTAATTACAAAATAGGGTTTGTGTCAGATGATTTTGCCCAACTGTAGGCTAATGTAAATGTTCTGAGCATGTTGAAGGTTGGCTGAGCTAAGCTATAATGTTCAGTAGGTTAGGTGTATAAATGCATTTTTGACCTACAATATTTTCAGCTTATGATTGGCTTATTGGGACATAACCCCACAAGTCAAAGAAGATCTGTACTCCAATCTGGTTTCCAGTCCACTCCTCCCCCAAATCTACCCTTGTTAAAGGCCATTAAGGAGCTCCTTGTCAATAAATTCACATGGTATTTTTTTAGTCTTGATCAGAGTTCTCAAAAGCATTGGACAATGTTGACCACTTACTCCTTTAAATATTGAACCCTTTTTTTACAACTTTCCTAACACATTTCAATTTTTCCTTTTACTTCTTTGGTTGCTTCTTCTTAAACATCTTTGCCAGCTCATCAGACCTGAATTCTAGACCTTCTTGCTGTGCCCTTCTCCTTAAATTAGTTCATCCACTCCCATGGATTTAATACCACCCCTGCATAAACCTGTATTTTTTTTCTCTAGCCCAGATCATGACTCTAAATCTGTGTATCGGTACATAATTGCTCCTCAGACCAGTTTACATGAATGTCTCATAAACATCTCTATGCATCATGCCCACTTGTCTTCTCTCCAAAAATTGCTCCTTCTTCAGTTTTCTCATTTCTCAGTAAGAGTACCACCACCCTCATTCAAGCCAAAAAGTTGGAAATCATCCTTGACATCCTTTACTCTCAGTTCCACAGCCAATCAACCACAGATCCAGGTGATTCTAGCCCCCATTTGGCTCTCAAAGCTCTGTACTGTTTGCCTTCTCCATACCCTCCCCTCTTCAAATCACCATCTCTGATTTGAACTACCGTTCAGGATCTTCCCAAGGCCTACTGAGATCTTCTTTTGCCACCTCTACTCCCTAAACCCATTTTCCATATTTACTGTATGTATCTATTTTTAAATGTAATGTAAATTTATATTTAAATATACATTTATATTTTTAAATGTAAATCTGATTATGTGTCCTTCTTAAAATCCATTAGTCTTAATGGTCTTTAAGAAAACATACTACGTCTAGCCGAAGGGCTTTCTACCTCTTCCTCCAACTTCTGTTCACCCTGCCATACAGTTTTTTGTTTTTTGTTTTTTAAGATTTTATTTATTTATTTGACAGAGTGTGAGAGAGCACAAGCAGGGGAAGCAGGAGGCAGAGGGAGAGGGAGAAGCAGGCTCCCCGCTGAACAGAGAGCCCAATGCGGGGCTCGATCCCAGGACCCTGGGATCATGACCTGAGCTGAAGGCAGCCGGGGTTTTTTTTGTTGTTTTTTTTTTTAAGATTTTATTTATTTATTTATTTGGCAGAGAAAGACAGAGCGAGAGAGGGAACACAAGCAGGGGGAGTGGGAGAGGGAGAAGCAGGCTTCCGGCTGAGCAGAGAGCCCGATGCGGGGCTCGATCCCAGGACCCTGAGATCATGACCTGAGCCGAAGGCAGGCGCTTAACGGCTGAGCCACCTAGGCGCCCCCCTTCCATACAGTTTAAATTTCCCTAACTGCCAAGCTAGATCTTGCCTTATTATTTCAGCATTATCTCAGCAATTAATTATGTGACAAATGATTTAACGTTAGCCTTCCCCACTAAACCAGTCCTGAGAGGAAGGTGTTTTGATTCTGCTCATCACCAGATGCCCAGAACAATAGGTACTTTTCAAAACTGCCATTTTGACTCAAAGTACATCTGACTTTATGCTTATAAAAATACTAAAACAGAATTATCTTAAAATTAATTTTCATGAGAAAGTAGCTTTAGAAATTAACTATGAACTCATCTCCATCATTGCCCATTTTTATTTTCATTTTTATGAACTGTTACCTTCAGGATTATTTTCCATGTAAACTTTTTAACAAAGATTTGATTCCTCAGTCACTTTTTTATGAATCATATTTTACTGATTATAGCTTTTGCCAACATGAGTTTTTAAAACCATAATTTCTACCAAATGCAGTTTTGCTACGTCAAATTTTGAATACCTAAATATTAACAAAATTGTATTACTCCATCAGTTTCTAGTCAAGAAAATTTATCAGTTTTTAGGTAATTGGTAGTTATCATTTGTTGATTATTTTTGCTTTACCAACCTGGAGTTTCCCAGATAAAGTTTTGAGGGTTTTTAGGATTAACAAAAAAGGGATGCTCGATCAGTTTTTGAACTCTAAAAAATTTTGTGGTATGCAATTTTAGCTAACTTTAGTTTTGTCTTTGCATTATTTCTACCAATAGTAGTCCATGTGCATTGAATGATAATACCATTTTGCATTTTTAAAATTTGTTCCTATCTTTTATTACATTATCCAAGAAGAAAATGTGATTGCTCAAGATTGCTGTAAAACAAGGGTAATAAGTATGTCTTCATCAAAATAGCTGGAAAAACATCCAGTCAAATACCCTGTTACATTCCCAAAGACTAAAGAGTTGACTTGTTATGTCCAGGACCCTCCTTGTGCCAAGAAAAAATAAATAGAAGACAATAAACTGAGAATTCAGAAATTACTTATAATTAACTTTGAAATACCATAGATGGGTTAGCCTGGTGATGGGTATTAAAGAGGGCACGTTCTGCATGGAGCACTGGGTGTTATACGCAAACAATGAATCATGGAACACTACATCAAAACTAATGGTATAATGTATGGTGATTAACATAACATAAAAAAAAAAAAAAACCCACAGATTCTCAAATACAGCCTTTCTTCTGTAGAACAGTAGGAGGAGGAGAAGAGCATGAACTAATCCACCTGGGTTTGAATCTTGAGTTTTCCCACTTACAAGCTAAGTGACCCTGGACAAGTTACTTACCACTCTATGCCAGTTTATGAATCTGTAAATGAATGTAATACTAATATCCACCTCACAGATTTGTTGTGGGCATTAGATTAGTTATTATTTGTAAAACCCTTAGAACAGTACTTGACATGTAATAAATACTCCCTAAATGTTAACTACCATCATCATCATCATCATCATGTCTTGGTTCCTTTCCCATTTAGTCCCATTTTAAATGTAGGCCATTAAGGCAGTGAAGAGAGAAAATTCCAGGGGCGTGTGGGTGGCTCAGGTGGTTAAGCGACTGCCTTCGGCTCAGGTCATGATCCCAGAGTCCTGGGATCGAGTCCCGCATCGGGCTCCCTGCTCATCGGGGAGCCTGCTTCTCCCTCTGACCCTCTCCTTTGGCATGCTGTTTCTCTCTGTCTCTCAAATAAATAAATAAAATCTTTAAAAAAAAAAAAAAAGAGAAAATTCCAAAGAGTAGAATAAAGATATTAGAAATTAAACATATAAGGAGCAAAACCCTCCTACATCTAGACTACCTGTAATACATAAAATTTTGACTAATTTGCTACATTCTAGACTAACCATCCCTAACAATCCCACTCCAACTGTAATTTTTATTTCTAAATCGTTCTATTTCCCCTTGACCCTGTAACGTACTTTGCAAATCAACACCAAAAAAATAGTCTGTTATATAAACAAGAGATTTGAATGCCTATAAGCAAGATTCACAAGTAAGAATGTTCAAAATCATGCTTTGATAAAAGAGGAAGGGGGAGATGCTGCCATTTTAATATTGATAGTGGATATGATCATCTTAATGATTCCTAAGCATAGTTACTCTACAGTTGGATGGCTTAATTATACATTCCATATAGCCAAGACTTTAATATTTTTTCTTTCAAAAATTCTAAATACAGGGGCGCCTGGGTGGCTCAGTCGTTAAGCGCCTGCCTTCGGCTCAGGTCACGATCCCAGAGTCCTGGGATCGAGCCCCGCATCAGGCTCCCTGCTTGGCGGGAAGCCTGCTTCTCCCTCTCCCACTCCCCCTGCTTGTGTTCCTTCTCTCGCTGTGCCTCTCTCTGTCAAATAAATAAATAAAATCTTTAAAAAAAAAAAAATTCTAAATACACACATTGTTTTCAAAAGAACGAATGAAATTTAAAATATCTCATCTAATCGGGGCGCCTGGGTGGCTCAGTCGTTAAGCGTCTGCCTTCGGCTCAGGTCATGATCCCAGGGTCCTGGGATCAAGCCCCGCATCAGGCTCCGTGCTCAGTAGGGAGCTTGCTTCTCTCTCTCCCACTCCCCCTGCTTGTGTTCCCTCTCTCGCTGTTGTCTCTCTCTGTCAAATAAATAAAATCTTTAAAAAAAAAAAATCTCACCTAATCAAATTCAACAAAGACTGTAAATACTCTCCCAAATTGTATTTTAAAATTACTAAAGCCTACCATATTTTTTAACATACATTAACATATAAATACAACATAAAGGTTTGAAACATAGTTTTTATTACACTAAAAAATTTACAATCATTAATATACAAATTCCTCTGAACCAGTAATCATCCATAGTTTTATCTTTTTTTTTTTTTAAAGATTTTATTTATTTGAGATAGAGAGCGCCTGCTTGCATGCACACACATCAGCAGGGAAAGGGGGAGAAGAAGAGGCAGAAAGAATCTCGAGCAGACTCCACGCTGGGCACAGACCCCAACCTGACTCAATCTCAGCACCCTGAGACCATGACCTGAGCCAAAACCAAGACCGACACTTAACCAACTGAGCCACCCAGGCGCCCCCATAGCTTTCTTAATAAGAGAGATTTAATGTCATCTAAGTATCATTATGAATAAAATAAACCTAGAAGATCTTTCTTTGCATTAAGTATTTTCAGAATGATACTTTATGAGCATGGCAGGGACTATACATTTCATCACATTTCTCAGTACCTCTTGTCAAAGCATATATGCAGTAAAGGCTAAAATAGGAAAAAAAAAAAAATCAATAAAACTACAATATTTCCAGATCTCAAAACTATCTGCTCAGCATTTTATTTTTTTTATTTTCTGCTCAGCATTTTAAACTCATCTAAAAAATCAGAAAAGTTATTCATTAATTTCAATTCTGACATTCCAATCATTGAGCATGCACAGGTTTATTAAAAAAAAAAAAACCATACACTGTTAAAGCATAAAATGGTACAATCACTTTGGGGAAATGCCTGGCAGTTTCTTAAAAATTTAAACATATAGATCTTCCCTAATCCAGCATTATGTCCACAACAAATTTACACAAGAATACTCAGAATCTTTATACATAATAGCCATAATCTGGAAATAGTCCAGAAGTCCATCAAAAGATAATGGATACATAAACTGAGGTATATTTATACAAGGGAATACCACTCAAAACAGAAAGCAATGAACTACTATAAGACGGTGAACAAACATGGGTATTAAAAACATTAACATAGGTAAAAGAAAAGAGAAACAAAGGGTATATACTGTAGGATTCCAATTATATAAAGTTCTAGAACAAGCAAAACTTATCTATGACTTTTTAAAAATTAGAACAATGGTTGTCTGAGGTGCCAAGGGATTGATCAGGAAGGGGCAGGAAAGAACTTTCTGGGGTAATAATAACATTCTGAATCTTGATAGGGATTTAAGGTACACAGGTAGAGTCACCTGTCAAAAGTCATTATTTAAGATTTGTACATTTCACGTTTGCAAATCTTACCCAAAACACACACACACCACACACACACACACACAAATAAATACTGAATTCCAGTTGATAATACTTATGCTGAAGTGTTTAGGCATAAAAGATTCTAAATAATTCTCCAACTTGTTTTAAATAACCATTTTATTTTTAAAAATGAATTGATGGATAGATGGATGGATACATGATAAAGCAAATATAGCAAAACAGTAACTGTAGAATTTAGGTGGTAGGCACATGAATGTTTACTGTAAAATGTTAACTTTTTCTATGTGAAGAGTTTCTTAATCTTTGTAAATTTACACATAATTTTAAAACATGAAAGGTGTACTAACAAAGTATAAGTCTAATGATATTATCTATTTTAGTTTAAATTTGGGGGGCTAACTTGGGTGATATTTTTATTTTACTTATTTATTTGGCTTTTCACTACTTACAAAGCAACTGAAAACTAAAAATAATACAAACTCAAATTACAGCTACTAGCTTTAATCAATTTAAGATATATAAAAATATATTGAATCAATTTCTCAAAATCATACGCAAAGATTTAGCATGACTGTTAACATTTAATTAGGTTGTAGATCTTAAGAATTTACTTTTTTGTATTTGTTAAGTTTTACAACCATATTTCATCTCATTATTTTTAAATATTTACTGTCAAATTCATCATCAAATACTAAATTGATTTTAAGAATTTGTGAATCTTAACATTTGAAAAAATATATTATGATATTTAGACATGGTACATTTTGTGTCTACTATAAACACAATTATTTAAATAAATCTATTTCAATTGTGCCTCATCAAAAAATTTTACTTCAGTGATACTAAATTCTTTGTCTTATGGCACATAAAGAGTACACATAGCAGTACAATGTATCACCCTGTATTTAAAAGAATATGTATTAACAAAGTATTTAACCACCATCATCTACAGTATATATTAAATACAATTTATCACACTATAAATTATTTAAACATGTCTATTTAAAATTTGACATTACTCTAAAAGAAGGCACATGGAAAAATTCATAGTCTAAACATTTTCACATAAGTAAAGATGCAACAGGGTAGAGTGAAATCTTTCAAAAATGAAGTAACACCAAGTTTATGTCTCATACAAAAAAACAAAGTACTTATTTTGAATATTTTAAGAAATCTAATGGCATGTTTAAAAATTTCTTTAGAAGATTTTATTTGACAGAGAGAGAACATAAGTAAGCAGAGAAGCAGGCAGTGGGAGAGGGAGAAGCAGGCTTCCCGCTGAGCAGGGAGCCCCAATGTGAGACTCAATCCCAGGACCCAGGGATCATGACCTGAGCCAAAAGCAGACGCTTAACCGACTGAGGCACTCAGGTACCCCTCTAATGGCATTTTTAGAAATGAAAGAGCTTCATTAACTTTTTCAAGATGCCACTGTAAATTATACCTAATTTAAAAGAAAATCAAGTTGTAAAAATAACAATGTGTTAAGATCACAAGGATAAGAAAAGATAGGAAGGTGGCAAAAATAACCTATCTACTATCCAATTACTAATATACTAGATGAAATAATATTTTGACTTAGCTTATTTTTCCAATTTAATATTCTTCTACAGAATCAAGTCTATATTTTAAAAATAAAATCACTCTTCCCTATGTTTTCTGGCATTACATTTCATAGGTAAAGACCATGGCATTTAAATTTTGGCAAATTAAAATTAAACAAGATTGACTCAGAAAAATGGCGGCAGTAAACTCCCTGAAATGAGTACAATTCTGGTATTTAAACATATGTAAAAATAAAATTTTTTATTCTACTCAGTCCCTAAATGTTAAGGAGTCTGTCACCTGACGCAGCCAAAGAAACAACAATCTTGAACAATGCTGGAGGAAAATATGATGGTAGAAGACTATGCTTACTCTATTTTATGGGCAGGAAAAAAACTTCCAAGGGCAATTTTGTATGTACATTTTTACCTTCCATACTGATTTTAGAACCTAACCACACACAAAAAAATATGTGTTGCACTTTCTTTGAACATAGAAATCTCCTAGAAACATCTCATGGAATTAATGTTCCACAGAACAGAGCTTGGAAAACTGATGTGGCTGCACTAAGTCAACATTCAAATTGAACATTCACATCAATTCTGAGGAGTAGCATGCTGAGATTATAATATGAATTCCATTACATATGGTAATTTGCTTTCAATAATTTCATAAAGTTAAAACTGACTACTTTAAGGATGTATTACTAGAGTTATACTGTAAAAACATTAAATTAGAATTATAAGATTCTAATCTGTTGAGTCCAGTGTTTAGGTTCAAAGAAAAGTCATAACATAAAGACGAAAACTACCAAAGAGAGACATCATATTACATATTCAAGGCATTTTTATAATAAAATATTTAACTCTAATAGCAAATATAAAATGCCAATGAAATTAATCAATCAACAAGCTAAAAGAGTACCAGGAAAGTCCATTTTATTTTTATTCTATTTCAATAGCCATAACCTAAATTCTGGATTTAATTTCCTCTAACTAAATGCCCACCACATAAATGCTATTATAACACTAATTCAGAGCTTTAATTTACATCCCTCTAATCAAAAGCTTTCAATGACTTCCCATTGTACATTCAACTGTGATTATTTAAAAATAGCATTCATTGTAATCCATAATGTGGCACCAATCAACTTCCAAACTGATGTCCCTCAATTCACCTTCAACCATTTCTCTTTTCAACACATTTTTTCTGAGACTGTAGTATGATTTAGGCACCTAGCTACATTCCAAACACTCTGTTCTAATGGTTTTCGAACATTAGCTTGCATCGGAATCTCTAGAGGGTTATTAAAACAGATTGCTGGGCTACACTTCCAGAGTTTCTGATTGAAAACTAATGGATTTACATTTTTCACAAATTCTCAAGTGATGCTGATGTTACTGTTCAGCTCTACCCTTGGTAAACCATTACTCTACTCCAAAGGCCACAAACTGGAAGCCCACTGGCTGAATGAGGCCCACTCACATGGGTGTAGTGTTTTTAAAACATTCTGAATTATTTGCAAACATTTTTAAGTTGAAAAGTTTCACATAAAAATGAAGACTTCCGGCTTATTCCTGCATGTAAAAATTCTGCTGGAGCTAAACAGTAGCTACTCATTTAACCCTAGTCCAGGTAACCAAGCCCTAACTGGCCCTCTCTACACCCACTTAAAATCACCTGGCCTACCACTGTATTTGTGCTTGTATACCCTGATTCACTCCTATTCTCTATGCCTTTTTCCATGTTGCTCACTCTGACTTAAACATTCTTTTCCATTATACTAAAATTCTGAACTCCATTCTAAAGCTTGGCTTAAAAATTCTTCCTCAACAAAGCACCAGCAAAAATGGAATATATATATTAAAGATTTAACTTAAATTTTTTTTTTAAGATTTATTTATTTGACAGAAAGAAAGACAGCCAGAGAGGGAACACAAGCAGGGGGAGTGGGCAGAGGGGGAAGCAGGCTTCCCGCAGAGCAGGGAGCCCAATGTGGGGCTCAATCCCAGGACCCTGGGATCACGACCTGAGCCGAAGGCAGATGCTTAACAACTGAGCCACCCATGAGCCCCAGATTTAACTTAAATTTAATGTGTGCTTTAAGAATTGAGATTTTATTTATTTCTGCAAATACTAAAACAAGCAGTATTTACAAAAATATTATAGAATAAATCATAACTATTTTTTGCTATTTCTATGTAGAATTTTAATTTTGTTCATTAAAACTTTTTTACTGTGATTTTTACTGTAAAATAAATCTTTTTTCAGAATAAGACATTAAAAATGAATGAAGACATTAAATCTTATAGCCAAAATATATAACTGTTCCAAAAGAACATCTTATTTTGCTAGACAAAAAAGGGAAGAAGTTTGGGGGTAACTGATAAGTCCCCTGGTTTTGTAACCTATATGCATCTTTAAAAGCAATTGTAATGAAATAAACACTTCCATAATTTTTTCATAAGGAAGACATTTTAGTGGATTTTTACTTCTATGGAACAGCAGGGGGGAAAACTACAAAGAAACAAAAACTGAGTGCTGGTCCTTGCTCTGCCATAAACAGCTTTGTTACATCAAGTCACTAAGTTCTCCCTGGACCTCAGTTTCATTACCTCTAAATTGAAGAGATGGAAAAAGTGATTTCCAAGTACCTTCCATCTCTAAAATCCTATCACTTCTTCAAAAACAGGAGAGCATAATAATCAATGTCATATAGGCAAGCTTCTGTTAATCAGGCTAGTATTGCTTCTAAATTTGACTTAAAAACCTTGAACTACAGCTTTCAAAGCTCTAATTTAAAATGTCGAAGGCTCAGAACTTTGAAAGAATATATACGTTTGTATATCTATTTATGTATGTTCTAATTTAATGATCAAAGTAAGAAATCTTTTTGTAAGGCCAACAATTAAACTTCTTAGAAAAAAATTGAAGACAGAATATATAACCATGCCAACCAATCAATAAGTTTTAATATATCTCAAAAGAAAATTAAATTAATTAGAAAATCATGTCAAAAAAGGTTTTTTCACAATTGAGATTAACAACACTTTTAAGAGTATGTATTCTGCTTCAGGATATTCCCAAATGAAAGTAATTTGGCCAAAATTAAAATCATCAAATTGCAAGACTGAAAAAAAATATTAGAGACTATTATATTCAGGCAGATCATGCCGTAAGCGAACTGCTTTCAGCTTCTCCACTTCAATTTTTGCTCTTAGCAGCTCTTCCTCTAGCTGCTGCCTTCTTTTCAATCCATCCCTCTTCTCCTGAACATACAATCCAAAATTTTTTTGATTTTCTAAAATTATCTGATGCTCCTCTTTCAACATTTGCAGAATCTGAGGATCATACCCTAATTGTGACCTAAAGTGTTCTCCACGCTCATGCCGAAAAAAATCATCTCTCCTTGGGATAGAAGATGGAGACGATGTCATTCTCATATCAACAGAGGAAAGTGACGGCGACAAAGATCTTTCCATAACATGTACTAATTCATGGTCTTCTCTTTGTTCTAAAATATCACTCTGTTGAGAATTTAAAACCAGTGGAGGAGGGGGCTTAATGTCTTCTTCTTGCTTCACCTCTACTGTAATAGCAACTGGATGGTGATCCAACATTACCTGTAGTGAACTCGTACCAGCCTGTGCTTCCTCATCCAAGTTTGCACTACAGCACACAAAAAAGCATTATAAAATGTAAATCAAATGAAGACAAGAGTATATTGATAGCATAATTTCATATTTAGTATACATCAAAGTGTCAAGCTTTAGAGCTATAAAGAAAATAGTGAAACAAAAAAAAATTTAATCCTTGGAATAACAAATTAAAGTGACCACATGTAAAATTTCAAAAATATATACATATAGCTCTTACACATCCTTAACTTTAAAATTGAGTTCTTAAAAGGACAAAAAATTACAAATATTACCCAAGGCCAATGAGGTAAATAAAAAGAAAAGCCTCTGTTTGCTTTCAAAGAGACAGCACATGTTCCTACAAGCTTAACTTTCTTAAATGGCATAAAGGGCCGTTTACTGTACTTTGGGCCTTGCTATCCCCATACCTCAGCCCTAGATCCCCTGCTTCTGCTCTCCTGGACTGATTAAAAATCTAAAAATCACCAAGGTCCATGACTCCTAGGATAATGGAAAGTCATCTATGGGAGGTATTGATTTCTACATCTGTCCAAAAAAAGAAAGTTTTTGTATGGCTTTGGGTATGCCCAATAATCAGGGTATTATCCTAACTATACAATTTCAGATACCATGGTGTTTATCCTTTACCTATCCTAAATTACTTGATTCCATAGCCCTTTCAGTCTTTCAACCATCAGTCACGTAAAGTTCACAGGGAAAGGGCTCAAATCCACCACTGTATCCCCAGCACCTAGCATAATACTGTACTTGGGACCTAGCAGGTGCTCATCACATGTTGAATGACTGAAAAAAATGGTTTTTTTAATGAACTATTTTTAAGTGGCTTATATACTATATATTGAAAGTCTGTTAAATTTACATGTAATTTCCATAAAATATGCACTTCTATTAGAGAAAACTAGTTTCAGCATAATTTAAACTTTGATGTAACATTATTGGTTATGACATAAACACAATATATCTTAAAATTCTACTTTTTTAAAAAACCAATTTTATAAATAACATGAAGCCACTAATTAAGAATATATAATCTTGTTTCTTGAGGGTTTTTTTAAATTTATGCTTCTGCCTAACTTAAAAATAAGTTATAGAGGAGAAAGAGATTATTGGAACAGTAATGAAAAAAATGCTATACTTAACATTAAAGAATCATTAAAGAATATTTTACAAATGATAAATAAGTAACACAGTTAAAAATACCTTCACCCTACATAGATGATTAAAATGCTGGAACAAGTTCAAGCAGAACATAAGGAAAAAAATTAAAACTCCCCGTATATCACTTACTATTGGCATTAAATTGCCAGAAATATCAGATATTGAAGAGATACAAATAAATAATAAGATATAGTATGTTATGAAAAATCTATTTGTAGATTACATAAATTCCTTAATTTTCATTCTTTTTGTCATCTTACGCTTTTCAAAAGAAAAACAAACCAATATCAATACAATATCAATGTAATTCAAAGTAGTAAGGCTTCCCTTTATTAACATCCCTAGATGTTTTCCTAGAAAGGAAAAAGGTTAAAACTACAAATGAAAATGAAAGTTTTAAAAATCCACATAATTACTATCCAAATTAGTATATAATGGAGTATAAGACTCACTATTAGACATAGACATTATACTCTCATGTAAATTTTAAAATGCCTTTTATCTAAAATATCCCATTCCATTTTCGTTGAAACATTATAAGTAGGCATAACAAAGTAAAAAAAAGAATGTTTTAGAGAAGTCAGAAAAAAGGATAAATGGAAGGACTTCTAAAATTTATGAATTTTGAAGATCAAATAGACTGCAAAAACACAAAATATAATCTGATACTAGAGAGAGGTAAAAATGAGGAAATATATCAATACACTATAGAGGTAGCCTTACAAAATAGGTATATATCTTTAAATATATTAAATAGGGCGCCTGGGTGGCTCAGTCGGTTAAGCGACTGCCTTCGGCTCAGGTCACGATCCTGGAGTCCCGGGATCGAGTCCCGCATCGGGCTCCCTGCTCGGCGGGGAGTCTGCTTCTCCCTCTGACCCTCCTCCCTCTCATGCTCTCTGTCTCTCATTCTCTCTCTCAAATAAATAAATAAAATCTTAAAAAATAAATAAATAAATAAATAAATATATTAAATATAAGCAGTAATATTTTCCTTAGCTAAGAATGGAGTTTAGTGAGATTAACAGGCATATTTATATAGCATAACTAAGATTACAGATTATAAACTTCTGAGAATTAAGATTCAAGATGTCACTCAAGTAAGTAATAAGCACATTAAATATGTAAATAAATGAAAATGCTAATACAGAGAAAATGGCAATGTGGACACTAACACAAATAAGCACTTAAGTGGCATATTTCTAATATTCTTTCCTCTAAAGTAGGAAAAGCTGTTCTTGCTTAAACAGTAGGTTTTGTAATGTATAAATTAAATAACTCATTTTATCAGAGCAATGTTGTTATCCCAAAAGACTGATTGTGAATATGGTTACAGTCAAAATGTAAATAGATACTTGTATATTATTTCTTCTACTATACTCACTGTATTTTTAAAATATACAACTAATTAAAACTACAGGTTCTATGTATAGTCTTCAAATTATAAAAACCTATACTTAATACCCAAAAGGTAGTTTTATACCAGTAATGCAAAAGCCAGTTTTCTCTATGGTTTGAGGGGGACAAATTTTTAACAAGTAGTACTGTATAAAAGTCCTACTGTGGAGTTCTTTGGATACCCAGCATATTAGGATTAATCATTTCTCATCACAGAGAACATTTTAAGCACTAATGAATTAATACACTGCATCCACTTTCCAGATTCCCACTGGTGATTTTTTTTTACTATGTTATCTACTAGAAGTAAGCAGTATATGGTAAGAAGCTGGTCTCAAAAAAATTACCCTAGTGAATTATAAAAATAACAAATAAGTTTGGCTAATAAGTTTTTTGCCCATTTCTCTCCTAACTTCAAAAGGACTTCACAGGTGATCAATAATTTTCTTATATGACTTTCCCACCAAGAAGAAAGTCTTTGTTTGAAATATTCCTCAACTAACAAGTTTACAACTTGTTTAAATAACCCTAAATGGTTCAGAAAAAGAATGCAGCTGCCATTTTTATCTTTTGCCAGGGGTTAAAATTTGAATTAGAAATAAGATAAGTTTTGAAGATTCCCACGCAAGTAGCTATGTAGAGCATAAATTTAACCAAAAAACCTTTCTATCCCTGTAAGAACTTAGTTGCTTATTCATATACTAAAATTAGTAGTTTCATATCTTTACAAAATAGTATGGGAGTGCTTACCCCTTTCCTCTTTGACTCAAGATCAAAGTGAAACTAGACCATTAATGAATAAAAAAACAAAAACTTTTTATTAAGTAATCTGAATCCCTAATTAGGCATTAAATTCCTTTCCTTGTATTTATCTTTTTTATTTTGAATATGTTAGAAATAATTTAAACTGTCTTAATATATACAATCATGCCATTAATAAATTTACTAAATTATTTATTTTAGGTTTTTAGCTCAATTAATATTCACTAAAGTGCAGACAGTAACAATTCATTAAAAAACAAGGGTTCCATTTCTCCTGAAACTGCTAACTTTACATAAAATTGAAAATTCCAATGAAATATAATCTTAAATGAAATAAGAAAAAGATATCTCTCAGAAGCTAATTAGCAATTTAAATTTAAAGCTTAAAAAGTTTATTATGAGATTATGTTACAAATTTCATCCCATTTATTCCTCCCTAACCTTTACTTTTAAAAACTACAGAGAGAGGGAAGGGGGAGGGGAAGACAATAAAAAGTGGCTTAAATCAAATGCAGCAAAAAAATTCCTTATAGCCTCACATTTCTTTTTTAAGAAAGCAAAACAAAGACACTATTCATTGCTCCCGTAGTGGGGATGCTTACTATGCATATCTCTATCACAACTAAGCCAGAGCCCAATAGATAGGAGGCGCCATAATTTTCCACAAGAAAATAAAATAAAGCTTACCTTTGTATGTGGTTCCTGTCTCTTACCAGGCAAAAACTGGAAATCTGGGGAATCATCTCCATAACTTTCTTGGTTGGCTCAGAAATATTGCCTTTAAAATCTGATTGGGTCTCTTTTTGCTGCAATAGCTCCTGTTTGGCATATTCTTTGAGCCTTTTGTAAAGGGTGCGTAGGCCCTGGGCTGTTCGAGGAGGGCGATCTACTCCAATTGCATTATAGTTTACTGCTATGATATCCCAACATCTATTCTTTTCCACTATTACTGAATGTTTATTAGTGTGTTCTTCGAGAATTTTAACATATGGCTTCACAAGCTTTAGCAAATCAAGCTTTTCAGATAAGGTAAAATTGGAAGATCTAGCCTTTCCTACCATTGTTCTTTTCAAATTAAGTAGGCAGTTTCTGAAACCACCATGCAGCAGCCTTCAGCTCTGCTCAGCTCTTTTCACAAACAGAGAAAGATCAGGCTTAACTAGGCTAGCCTCATTTAGGCCCACGCCTACAGGGGAGGGTTTATTAAAATTCCTCCAGCTTAAGCTGACGCAGGTTCAGGAAATCTGCTTAAGCCAAGCCTGACCTACATAAAGCTTCTCACTGAAGAAGACAGGAAGGCACAAGCAAAACACACTTGTGTATAAAGAGAACAGCTCGAGATAGGATTTAATACACAAAGGTCTAGAGATAAACATGGAACACAGCTAAAAATTAGCTAATTTAGTGAGAATATCGAATTTCCACACATGTATGCCTAGCTGATAGACAAACTGCATTGCAGTTATCACTTTAATAAAAACAAAAGAGGAACTGTTTTGTACTATTTGTTTATAAATCCAGTAGATAGGAAAATGAAAAACTAAAGATATGAGTGATGAATGTAATGATTCCTAACAGAGCCCCTAATCACTGTTTTCTGAGCTGCTGTTCTCTCTTACCAAATCTGCATAATGCTGGTCCTGCTGTCAATCAGCAATTGCATATCCTCTAGCTAGTTAGGTTACACCCACCCAGACTCAGACTTCACAGTAAAGCTAAGCTTCTCCTTCATTCTACAGTCTACAGTAGCCACATTTTTTTCAGTTACTTAGGAAAAAATTTTTGTTCTGAAAATCAAATAAAAATTATGTTTTTAAAGGAAGCGATTATTCTAGCTGTAACGTATGTGAATATGCTAGCCTGCTTTATCATGTGTAAAAAACACCATTCACAGTGAGAACAGAATAATCATGGCTTAAGACTGCACACAACAAAATGGCATTTGCTTTTATTAAATTGTAGGATTTTTATTTTGCTATATTCATACAATTTGGACTATTTAAAAACGAGACACCAGGCTCAAAATGGAGTCACTTATGCTAAGCCCCACGTCACCTGAGACTTAATTATAGTTTTGGCTCTCCCAAAAATGGAATCTTAAACCAATCAAGAACTATGTGATCAGCACGAGTGAGGTAATCTGCCCGAAAGACTCCTTCCATCTCCTAAAGGAAAGTGAACACAACCAATCCACTTTTTGCCAGGATAATTTCCTTGTTCTCACTCACTTCTGCCTATGAAAGTCATTCATTTTGTACAGCTCCTTAGAGCTCCTTTCTACCTGTTAAATGGGATGCTGCCCAATTCCTAAATCACTGAATAAAGCCAATAAGATCACAATTTACTCAGATGAATTTTGTTTTTTAACAAAACTTAACAGCTAGTCTAGCCATTTGCAAGGCCACCAGTTTGCAATTCTAATCCCTGTCTGAAAACACAATAAATGTATGCATAACAGTATGTAACAATGTAACATAAACAAGGTAAAAAAAAAAAAAAGCCTATTTTCTTCTCATATACAAGTGTAGGGCCACAAAAATGGGCCACTTTGGCATGAAGATTACTTTGAGTTCAAAGCAATCAAAATCCAGCAGATTCAGGAAAAGCTCTTAACCTCCCCTCTCAACTGCCTAAATTTTACATTGGAAAGGAGCCCGTAGCAGGAAGAAAACAGCGATTGCTCCTTAAGAAACATATCTACTATATCTCTCTAACAGGGCAACCTTTGTTTTCCATACATATACCCTTACCTTCCTGCTAAAGGTCTTCCTCCCCTTTGTATCCCAATACCCCTAAACCCCCTCCTTAGCTCAGGATGTCATATAAGCCTCAAGTTCCCTGTCTTTAGAATCTCATGTCTGTGTGGATTCCCCATATGTCCAAAACTAAATTTGATTTTCTCCTGTTAATCTGTCTCATGTCAATTTAATTCTTAGTCCAGCTAAAAATACCTTGAAGGGCAGAGGATATTTCTTCCTCCCTAACATAGTCTTTAAGCAGTTTTACTGCTCAGTAAATTGCAGAAAATAAAAATGCAAATGATGGAGATGCAAACTGAAAACTGACCCACCCCAACAACCTGACCAAAGTTACTCAAAGGAAAGCAAGAACACAGGATATATACTGTTTTTAGATAATACTTCGTTATTTTTGGAATAAATAACTGGTATTGTATTAAAAATGAAATACTAGGGGCGCCTGAGTGGCTCAACTGTTAAGCGACTGCCTTTGGCTCAGGTCATGATCCCAGGGTCCTGGGATCAAGCTCTGAGTCGGGCTCCCTGCTCGCGGGAAGCCTGCTTCTCCCTCTCCCATTCCCCCTGCTTGTGTTCCTGCTCTCGCTATCTGTCAAATAAATAAATAAAAACTTTTTTTAAAAATGAAATACTAATAAAAATATGAAAAACCATTAAATCTCACTAATTATCAAAAAATGTACACTAAAAATGATTTTCATCCACAAAGATTGGCAAAATTCTTAAAGACTGAAAATGTCAAGTGGATGAGGGTGCAGGGCAAGGAGTTCTCTTTGGGAGTGTAAAACGGCATTTTGGTTTGCAGTCTGAGAGTATTAATATTTTACATGTGAAAACTTCTAAAATTGCAGTAATTTTAATTCTCAGAATCTAAATTAGAAAAATATTTAAATACAAGGAAGAACAGAGCATTCTATGAAGTTGCATAGTATTGAAGGCAATCTAAGAGCACATCAGGTGGGGACAATAAAAATCACTAGAATATGCCCATACTATGGTCTACTCTAGGCAGCACTAAAATAATAGAGGTACATTTCTATGTACTGACAGAACAAGCTCCAAAACACATGGCAGATGAAAGGAGCAAGTGAAAGAAAAATACATACAAATATAATTCCATTAGGTTTACCAGAAATACCCAAAGCTAAATATTTCTGTAGGTACAGAAAAAATATACATAGATACAAAATGTAGGTAGGTACATACATATGTATGAAAATGCACTACCAAGGGGCGCCTGGGTGGCTCAGTCATTAAGCGTCTGCCTTCGGCTCAGGTCATGATCCCAGGGTCCTGGGATAGAGCCCTACATCAGGCTCCCTGCTCCGCGGGAAGCCTGCTTCTCCCTCTCCCACCCGCTCTGCTTGTGTTCCCTCTCCCGCTGTGTCTCTCTCTGTCAAATAAAGAAATAAAATCTTAAAAAAAAAAAAAAAGAAAATGCACTACCAAAACGTCTAGAACTCCATTATCCTAATACAGTAGTGTTAAGAAAAGAAAACCACAGGCCCTAAACAGTGTCACTTAGACCAAGTTCCCAAACTGGGGCTTAATACCCATACTAATTGCAGTTTCAACCTCCCCCAGAAATGTGGCCTTAACTGGTCAGTCAGGAAATTTTTCTTTCCACCAGCGCCAGTGAGTCTGTCATATGGATCCCCTCTCCCCCAGGCCCTCTCTCCCCCAAAGAAATATGAGGTACTCTGCATAAGACCCGGTCCCCTAGAACTAGAAAACAGCCTTGTCAATCCTTTTCTTTTGCTAATAACTTTCTTGCCCCACCCTCCTATAAAAACCTTCCATTTTATACAACGCTTGGGAGTGTCTCTCTCAACTTGCTAGAAGAGGTGGTGCGCAATCCATGAATTCTTTAATAAAACCAATTAGATCTTCAAACTTACTTGGCCAAATTTTGTTCTTTAGCAGGCACCATGAGCCATGTATGGTTATTGAGCATTTTATGTGTGGTTAATGGAACTGAGGAGCTAAATTTTAAAATTTATTGAATTTACAATTAAGCAAATAATAACTGCCTATAGACTATAAGACATAACACATCAAACATCAACTGATTCAATGAATCAATATTTTTTAAATTACAAGTACTTCTCTTCAGATGCAAATGAGTTGTACAATATAAGAGATAAACTTCCCCATGAATATTTGGGTCACATTTTATTTCAAAGGATTTCCAAATTTACAAAGAAATGCTATCAATTCATGGTCAAATATTCATGGCATAGATTTTTTTTGTATCTTCTACATCTGTTGAAGAAGAATTTTAGTGAGACATGGAAAAAAAAATTCTACAGTAGAACGTGCTCATTAGGTTAAAAAGTCTGATTTATTGAAATTTTATTTTTTTTTTTTTTTTTTTTTTTTAAAGATTTTATTTATTTATTTGAGACAGAGAGAATGAGAGAGAGAGAGCACATGAGAGGGGGGAGGGTCAGAGGGAGAAGCAGGCTCCCTGCCGAGCAGGGAGCCCGATGCGGGACTCGATCCCGGGACTCCAGGATCATGACCTGAGCCGAAGGCAGTCGCTTAACCAACTGAGCCACCCAGGCGCCCTGATTTATTGAAATTTTAAAAGAAAAAACTAATATTTTGGGGCATCTGACTGGCTCAGTCAATAGAGCATGCGACTCTTGATCTTGGTTGGGGTTGTGAGTTCGAGCCCCAAGTTGGGTACAACGTTTAGTTTAAAAGATAAATAGGGGTGCCTGGGTAGCTCAGCTGGTTAAACAAATGACCTTGATCTCAGCTCAGGTCCTGATCTCAGGGTCATGAGTTCATTCAAGCCCCATGTTGGGCTCCACACCCAGTACTTTTTAAAATAATTAATTAATTAATTAAAATGTGGATTTATGCAATTTAGTTTTTTGTTGTTGTTGCTTTTTGTTTTTAAAGAAACAAGGGGCACCTAGGTATCTCAGTCATTAAGCGTCTGCCTTTGGCTCAGGTCATGATCCTGGGGTACTGGTATTGAGCCCCATGTCAGGCTCCCTGCTTGGCAGGGAGCCTGCTTCTCCCTCTCCTCCCCACTCATGCTCTCTCTCGCTATCTCTGTCTCTCTCTAATAAATAAATAAATCTAAAAAAAAAAAAAAGAAAGAAACTAATGTTTCACTTCTTACTTTGTTCCACATACATTATGAAAATATTGTACTCAACTTTTGGAAGTAGACTCTATGAAAGCTATCTTGAATATCATTGTCAAAGCCATTTGGAATATGTACGCAAATGCTATGATCACTGCCAGTTTACTGAACTGGTAAAAGAAACAGAACACAGGGGCGCCTGGGTGGCTCAGTCGGTAAGCGTCTGCCTTCGGCTCAGGTCATGATCCCAGGGTCCTGGGATCAAGCCCCACATCGGGCTCCCTGCTCGGTGGGAAGCCTGCTTCTCCCTCTCCCACTCCCCCTGCTTGTGCTCCTGCTCTCGCTCTCTCTCTGTCAAGTAAATAAATAAAATCTTTAAAAAAAAAAAAAAAAGAGAACACAATTCATTTAATGATGTGTTTTTTGTTCTTCACCAGCGCTCACTGGTTGAGTCATGGAAAGTTTTATAAAGAATTATTGTACTGTTAACTCCAACATTTTTTTCAAAGAAAAGGAATGCTTGCCAAACATTCAATAATCAAAGACAAAAAAAATGGTAATATAATTTACATTTTCTAATCAATATCACATTGTCATATGAATGAGCTAAATTTGAAGCTTTGAGGAAAAGTGTATCTGTGACCTGATTAGATAGATAAGAGAATATATGTTTAAAGTGAAAGTTTTGACCATGCAAATCAGTAAGTGTATACATTTTTCTAACTTGAATCAATAAAAAATTTTAATTGTAATTAAGAGTGATATTCAAATTGCATGCAAAAGCTACAAGAAAATTTTGAAAAATTATTAGAAAAGGTTTAAAAGGTATTATTAGAAAAGGTTTAAAAACATATTCATGTATTACTTACATAACCAAAATCAAATTGTAAATAATTCTTACAAACTAAGAAAAACAATGCTATAGAATAATGGATGTAGAATACAAAACAAAATTTAAAGGGACGCCTGGGTGGCTCAGTCATTAAGTGTCTGCCTTTGGCTCAGGTCATGAGCCGAGGGTCCTGGGATAGAGCCTCCCTGCTCAGCAGGAAGCCTGCTTCTCCCTCTCCCCAACTTGTGTTCCCTCTCTCGCTGTGTCTCTCTCTGTCAAATAAATAAAATCTTTAAAAAAAAAAATTTAAAGAATAAAAGTACATCCAATATATAAAGAGCTCAACCTCACAAGCAATTAGGGAGATAGAAATTAAAAGATCACAGTAGTTTTTACAGATTCAAATGGCAAAAGTTTAAAAAGCTTAAGAAAAAGTTAAAAAGGTTTAATAGCATGTGTTAAAGAAGGTGGGGAAATAAATTCCCTCATACAGTAATGATTTTTGGAAGGCAATTTGGCAGTCCATATTAAAATGAATGCAAACATGTTACGATCTGACAAATATTTGCCTATGTTCATAAGACCACATGTACAATGATACACACTGCAGGATTGTTTTTAACAAAAATCCTAAATAAACTATGATATATTCATCCCATTGTATACTCTGCAGCAATTAAAAGAATGAGGTACATCTACAAATTCTAAAATTAAAACAAAAATCTCCAAAGCATACTAGTGAAAATTGCAAAGAATCCTCAAGCACAGAAAACAAAAAGGCAACCTACTGAATGGGAGTAGATATTTGCAAATCATACATCTGATAAGGGGTTAATATCCAAAATATATAAAAGAACTTACATAACACCAAAAAAAACAAATAATCCAATTTAAAAATCATTTCTCCAAAGTAGACATACAGATGGCCAACAGACACATGAAAAGATGTTCAACATCCCTAATCATCAGGGAGATGCAAA